GGTATTACTGAAATTCATTAAATGAAATTAAGTAAATTCATTACTGCAGTCTGGCAGGGCAACGGGTATCCATCGATCAACCATACATGCAGAGACCAGCGCTCTGGATGGGGATGCCAGATCGAGCCACAAGCCTGAGAGAGGAGATCTGCCCTCATGGGAATTGGCCATGGGGCTGTCTGTGACAGCAGCTCCAGGAACCAAGTCTGGTTCTCTCAAAGCGGAGCTATGAGGAGCACTGAGTGGTGCCTTTCCCTGATTCTCTTGATAACCTGTGGCAACAGAGAGACCAGAGGGAAAGCATATAGTGGGCGGCTGGGCAAGGTTTGGGCCAGCGCGTCCTCGTTCTTTGAACTAGAACTTTGGACAGGGAGCAAAGTGGTCGACTTCAGCTTTGCCAAAAAAGGCGCCATGGCAACTGGACTGTTTGGGGGTGCAAGGACCATTCCCCTGGGGGAACATTGTCCCTGGACAGTTTGTCTGGGCACATGGCACATGCACAGCTTTCAGCAAGCACAGATGGTGCTGAGACCAAATTGCAGAGGTTTCTGGGTCTGACACCGCCCTAATGGTTCACGTAGAACACTACAGACATATTGTCCGAATGGACTAGAACGTGGTGGTCCTGTATGAAAGGGAGGAAACGCTTCAGTACGTTCTCAACTGCTATAATTTCCAGACAGTTTATATGGAGGAGTTTCTCCTGGTCTGACCACAGGCCAAAGACCGGTCTGTCCTTGAAGAGAGCGCCCCAACCCGAGTTGGATCCGTTTGTCGAGATGACCTTTTGGTATGAGACAGTTCCCATAATCACTCCCCGCTGGTACCAGTTGGACTGGGCCGTGTCGAACTGAGCCGTGGGTACTTTTTCTGGGCACTTTTTCTACACTTAAAACACCATCGGCATGAGGCGGATAACCAGACATTATGCTCTTTATGAGATTTCTATGGGTCGCGTGAACATGGTGGTTGTGTGCAGGCGAGCGGGTCATGTTACCGGCTCATTGGCTGCTGAATGAACCACTGCAGTAGGCTGTGTTAGGGGCACTGACAGGGAGAAAAGCTTTGACGGTGGTCCGACGGTGGTTCTTTTCCCTCATGCTTCTGCTAGGAGGGCTTTGCGTGCTCGGGCTTCAATGTGATCTGGTTGGCCGAACGCGATCTGAGGCGGCCATCCCATCGCTGTGAAGGCTGTCTGGGCTGAGCTGTGCACTGTGTAGTGGCTCATGCAGGCGGCTGGTCACGTGGTCGGCAAGGCAGGAACAGGTTCATGGGCTGCGTGGTTTTTTTGTACCTCATCTGATCTTTACAAAGACAGCTAGCTTGCTCTTTTAGATAGAAAAAGGCTTTTTGAAAAAGGATATGTCGCCAGATAGCGTAGTGCGCACGGAAGGCTGAAGGTGGTGAAGACGGTCGGCTTCCTCAGGCACTGTCCTAAGCTGGCTTGTCTTTTTCTCAATGGCGGAGGCTTCTCAAGATCCAGCGATGCGGAGAGCTTCGCTGAAGAGATGAAAATCAGAGATTCAGCCTCCGAGCCCCGAAGCCACGGCCATTCTGGTGGGCTAGAACGTGTTGAGGCCGCGAGCGTCTTGCATCTGATATGTCAGTTGCGTGGGAAAAGTTCAGAGAGAGTTCAGAGCATAGTTTCGGAGTCGGAGCCCACTGATAAAAGTTTGAATGACAATCAAGGTAAGCAGATAATAAAATGGTGTGCCTTGTCACTAGTGACATAGCCTTGCCTTATCAGTCTGTGTGCTGAGATTAGCCTACAGACTTTAACTATATTTGCAAACGTTTTCTGACACGTGTGTTACGTGGGCTAGCTAATTGCTCAATAAAAATAGGCTCATGGTACAAATTATGTTTTAGCAAATTGTCAAAGGTTGTCCAGATTGAACCTGCCACAATTAAATACCATGCTGAGCGAATCTTTTCAGTTATTGGCCTAAACAAGACTGACATCACAGACTTGATGGCACACTGTGATAGGGAAGTTTGGATAATTTTACTGACTCGCTTTTTCGATCTCTTTTTGCGAGTCATTTCATTAATTTAGGGCTTTAAATACTTATGATTAACAGCCAAATTCCTCAAACACATGCAGCAGTCTTTATCATATTCTGAATTAAGAAATCATTGTAATGCAGTCAAAAATAATTCAAAGGGAACAAAATAATTACTTCCTTAATTTGTCTGTGTACCTTCCAAGTCTTAATCATTTTTTAGTTAATTAGTAAATTGGTCACGTGGCAGACGCAATGAACAGATTGTTCATGAACGGATCTGCTTCAGATACAAACGTACAGACCTCTTGCAGAAGCAGGCCACACTGCCACTGTGGCATACAGTGGGGCCAAAAAGTATTTAGTCAGCCACTGATTGTGCAGCTTCTCCTACTTAGAATAATGAGAGAGGTCTGTAATTTTCATCGTAGGTACACTTCAACTATGAGAAACAAAATGAGAAAAAAAAATCCAGGAAATCACATTGTAGGATTTTTAAAGATTTTTTTTTTTTTTTTTTTTTTTTTTTTTTGTAAATTATGGTGGAAAATAAATATTTGGTCACCCACCCACACACCAGCAAGATTTCTGGCTCTCACAGTAACTACTTCTTTAAGAAGCTCTTCGGTCCTCCACTCGTTACCTGTATTATTGGCACCTGTTTGAGCCCGTTATCTGTATAAAAGACACCTGTCCACAGCCTTAAACAGTCACACCCCAAACTCAACCATGGCCAAGACCAAAGAGCTGTCGAAGGACACCAGGAAGAAAATTATAGATCTGCACCAGGCTGGGAAGAGTGAATCTACAATAGGCAAGCAGCTTAGTGTTAAAAAAAATCAACTGTCTGAGCAATTGTAAGAAAATGGAAGACATACAAGACCACTGATAATCTCCCTCGATGTGGGGCTCCACGCAAGATCTCATCCCGTGGGGTCAAAATGATCATGAGAACGGTGAGCAAAAATCCCAGAACTACACTGGGGGACCTGATGAATGACCTGCAGAGAGCTGGGACCAAAGTAACAACCATACTACCATAAGTAACACACTACACCGAGAGGGACTCAAATTCGGCAGTGCCAGACGTGTCCCCCTGCTTAAGCCAGTACATGTCCAGGCCCACCTGAAGTTTGCCAGAAAGCACATGGATGATCCAGAAGAGGATTGGGAGATTATCATGTGGTCAGATGAAACCAAAATAGAACTTTTTGGTAAAAACTCAACTTGTCGTGTTTGGAGGAAGAATAATGCAGAGTTGCATCCCAAGAACACCATAGCTACTGTGAAGCATGGGGGAGGAAACATCATGGCTGTTTTTCTGCAAAGGGGACAGGAAAACTGATCCGTGTTGAGGGAAGAATGAACAGGGCCATGTATCGTGAGATTTTAAGCCAAAACCTCCTTCCATCAGTGAGAGCCTTGAAGATGAAATGTGGCTGGATCTTCCAGCATGACAATGATCCCAAACACACTGCCCAGGCAATGAAGGAGTGGCTCCGTAAAAAGCATTTCAAGGTCCTGGAGTGTCCTAGCCAGTCTCCAGACCTCAACCCCATAGAAATTTTGTGGAGGGAGTAGAAAGTCTGTGTTGCCCAGCAACAGCCCCGAAACATCACTGCTCTAGAGGAGATCTGCATGGAGGAACGGGCCAAAACAGTGTGTGCAAACCTGGTGAAGACTTACAGGAAACGTTTGACCTCTGTCATTGCCAACAATAGTAATATTACAAAGTACTGAGTTGAACTTTTGTTATTGACCAAATACTTTTTCCACCATAATTTACAAATAAATTCTTTAAAAATCCTACAATGGGGTGTACCTACAATGAAAATTACAGACCTCTCTCATTCTAAGTAGGAGACTGGAGGCTGACTAAACACTTTTTGGCCCCACTCAACAGGCCTAATTTGTGAAACTTGTGTGTTGTGGTTTTCTGGGGAGGTGAATTATTATGTGTTGCTTTTGTTTTGAGATTTCTTATTGTTTAGATGTTGTTGATAAATAAATTTGTGATGGCCAATATTTTAGCCACACAAGTTTTATCTATTCACATTTGCATTTGATTTATAAATAAAAGGACATTACTATGGTTTGGTTTAAGATCTTTATTTGTCATTGTACTGAGTCAGTGTACGGGCTTAGTTATTAGACTTAAGATTAAAACATTAAAACCAGCTAAAATTCATATTTGGCTAAAATGTGATCTATAAAAACATAGCTTAAACTGTTCATTTTGTAATTAAGATGACTTCAAATGTTTAGTACCTGTTGTGTTGTGGTATGGCCCAGCCTGGTGACAAAGAGATTCAAACAGGAAGTTGATCTGTTTTATGGGAATTCTAAAGGAAATTAAACCGTACCAACTCTGATGTATTAGAGGGGACATAGGAAAATGTGATGTTTGTTTAATATGATTCTTTTGCATTAACTATAATTTATCCATGGCTCTAAATTTAGTTAAATGTATTGTTTTTATTTCAGGGTTTGTGTTGTTATTGTTGTGAAATTTTGTATGGTAATGTTTCCCCTTCTTTGTTTTCATGGTGCTGGCCACCTCTTATAAATTCTTAAAATATGAACGAAAATATGTTTTGTCTAGAGAGAGTTGTTACTTAATGTACCCTGGAAAAGGTTGTGTTAAATTTTGTCCTCTGTCAGTTTGAGAGGCTCAAACCCAACTATGTCCTTTTTGAATATTGGACTTTTCCTGTGATGTAATCTGAATGGCATACAATTTTTGGATAAATAATAATGCAATTTAATAAAAAATAAAATAAATAATGGATTTAATAAAATAATGGATTTAATAAAAATGCAATTTTGATTTGATTTTCCAAAAGTAGCCTACTCTTTACTTTATGAGTAAAAATATTTGTAAGGAGAAAGAAATGATAGCAGAAGGATTGGTAGTACGTAGATTTGTCGTACACTTGCTGCCCCCAAGCGGCGTGCAAGTAAATTGCGCCTCTCTCACATAGATGGACGGGGAGATGAAGTGTGTCCTTTCTCAGGTGTCAGCTCCGTTGTGTAGTAAATAGATCTCTCATACTCACTGCTGCTCAGAGGACACCTCGCTCATGGAGCGGTGACACACTTTCGGTGAGTTCAGTACTACGCTTTCCATTTTCTTAATAGCACAGTCTGCGTTCCACAATGTCAAACCTTGGAAAATATGCCTAGAAAAATGTGTGCATGTATTATGTGTCATTTGTTCAGATGTCACTCTGTAAGTCGAAATTAAAGTGATTATGATTATTTTAATGTATAAATGCAACATTGTTGTGTGTCCACTCCTAGAGATGTTTAGTAATTTAGAAAAGCATGTCTTTATGCTCTCTAATATATCTTCTTCCTATCCATCATTTTAGTTGTATGAAAATTTGATGCATGCCCTCCTCTGCCAGCCAGCAATCTGTTCGTGTGATTTTGTTTGAAATGACAAATAAATCATTTTAACAGGGGCAGGCATTTGACCAGCGAGTAAATTATAGATCCCCACTTAGGTGAAACTCAATCTCTCCCCTCTTGTTACTCTCTTTGCTTTCGTTGACGACCCCAACGCACAGTTTCCCAGCATGCAGCAGGAGCTTTGGCTGAGGGCCCTTCTTGATACCTGCGTGTGCAATGAGATCGGCCACTGCGCAAACACTCCCGACAAGACCGTCCGAACAAGAACTCAAAAATGCCTTATCTAACTGCGCCGCAGGACACAACCACAACTCCAGCAGACCAGCACAGTCCAGAGCAAAGACGTCCACAGACACAGTTAATTGTACTTCTTTGCATCATCATGGCCATAATCGAGGTGCGTTACTCTACTGTTTTTGACAGACAGTGACATGAGAAGTGTGTCTTGTAGAATCTTGCAGAAATAACTTTTGTGTCTGAGAAAATGCAGATAAATGTGATATTGCCGAGGGCCCCTGGAACCTAAACAACCCGGTGAAAGCCTCGAGGAGCCACCAGGAGCTTCACAAAGAGCTGTTACTGGCCCACAAAAAGTAAGATCACAATACAAGCGCTCCAAATCAGACACAGGGATATTTATCTCTGTTCATGGAGATTTTTTTAAGTGGGTTAGTGAAATATTGATGATGCCTCGCTCTCTCTCTCTCTCTGGTCTTTTGTGTCAGGCAGTCATGTGTGGACGCACAGGCTGCAATCGTACACCTCTGGTATTATCAGCAGCCTGCGCGCAGGACACACTGTGTCAGATACTGTAATGATAGGCCTTCCTATCACTACTGCCAAGTCCTTTAGAGACTACTGAAAAACTCAAGTTTAGTCACTTTGGCTGCTACTGCTGAGAAATATGGGCTCACATATTACTCTCAAATCTCATGATGTCAATGGTGATGATGCGCTTTTTTTTGAGTTCCTACAAGAAACTTTACATTTGCTTGCTAAACTGGTGATGGGAATAATTATGGGTTGAAAAGTAAAACTATATTTCAGTTCTTTTTCAGGCAAACAAAGTTTGATACATAATTTTTGACTCCTGTCTCATGTCTTTCTATGTCGTGGTGATGGGGGAAAATTAGATGGGAGAAAAAATTATATTTCAATGGTTTCGCATAGATTTTGAGTTCCCAGAGAAACTTGTCTTTTGCTTGCAAACCTTTGACATTTTCTAATAAAATTTGTGTTTGCACTCAAAACTTTGATATTTTTCTTTTTGTTATGGAAATAATATGAAATGATAATATGCAAACAAAATAGTTTCTCAGGAATGTCAAAGTTTTGCGAGTTTCTCTGGGAACTCAAAATCTTTGCAAGAGAATTTCAGAAACATTGCAATATTATTTTTTATAATTTATTTTCTAATTTAAAATGATTTGTGGGATGGCCTCCAAATTGTATAATGTTATGATACAAAGAAGAAAGATTTTTTTTTTCATAATTATTTCCACAGTTGTTCTTTTTTTTTTTGTATTTTTATATATGTATATGCTAAATGCATAAATGCAAATATTTCACCTACTTTGTCATATTTATGGTGCTTATGGTGCTAATATAGATTATTAAACACATAACAAATGTATCTTAACTAAAATTAAATGAAAACTGAAAATATAAAAATAAAAGCTTATGCAAAATATTAAAAGTGTTAGTTCACCCAAAAATAAACATTTTGTCATAATTGACTCACCCTCAACTCAAGTTGTACAAAACCTATATGAATTTATTGTTCTGCTGAACACAAAATATAATATTTTGAAGAATCTATGTAACCGAACAGTTCACCATAACATTACCATAGTATGAAAAAAATAAATGGCTAATGGTTAACTGTTCAGTTACCCACATTCATACAGGTTTAGAACAACTTGAGTTGAGGGTGAGTAAAAGATTATTTTTTATTTATTTTTGGGGTGAACTATCCCTTTAAGGAAAACTGTAATAGTACATATTTCTAAAATAACACTGGTAAAATTTTACTTTTATACCTGTTTGTGTTTTGTCTCTTTGGGCGGGACAGAGGGCTGGTGGTGGGCTGTAAGCCGGAGCTTCAGGCGGTTCTGGAGAGGAGGAAGAGAGAGAAGAGCCAGAGGGAGGAGGGAGAGCAGAGCAGGAGTCCTCTAGAGCAGGTGCTTCTCCAGCGCCAGCAGAAACACCAGGAGATGATGGTCAGCAGCCTCCTCCAGTACAAACAAACACACATCACTTTACACACTTATTACTATATAGGTTCGCCTTACAAAACTGACTATGGTAAACCACACTTTACACCAAAATAAAGGCTCTATTTTATTATTTCTACTGTGTACGTTCATATGATGTAATGTTATTTCGTTTACAACAAGTTCATTGTAGTAACACTAACTGTAATTACTGAGTGGGAATTTCATCCGTTTTATTTTGTGTCTGTGTTTTCTGATTCGTTACATCTCAGAAGGAGAAGGAAGACGAGGAGAAGTTACATGAGGAGATTCAGTTGTTGGAGTTTGTGCGAGTGAGACAGAACCTGAAGAGAGTCCACACAGCTCTACAGAAGAACATTCACTCCTGAATCTGACTAAACACATACTTCACTTGGCTTCATTTTGTTGTATCCATTATGATCTTGTTAACCTTTTTTCATACATTTTTAGTCTGATAGTTGACTACATAATTTAATAATGTAAAAAAAAAAACTAAAAAAAAAAAACTAGCCTACCAATGGTACAGTCTTAGTTCCTTCTAAATACCATTATTACTAACTACTAAGGTTATTGATAAGCCCTAGTTCTGTAAAACAAACTATACTTCAAACAGTGATTCACAAACTGTAATATTTTGCTGAGAGTGGTGGGAATTTTTTGGTAGAAACCCTTAATATCACAGAGTACTGAAATAACACTCATCTACCGTGACACAAGTTCTAACGACGTTTTCACATCTATTTTTTTTTTTTTTTTTGGTAGGCTACTTAAAAAATAACGTGGCAAATTGCCGTGGTAATTGTTTTTGTATTGGGTTTGAAAGTTGTAAATGTCAGTATTCTAAAATCAAACCAGTACGACCTATTCATATTGTATTTACTTAACATGGCTTTAATTGATATAACGAATCCTGCAATAAAGCTCCATCTACTTCAAGTACTAGTAGGCTAGTAGCCTCCCTACTAGTAGTAGGGAAAATCCTGTGTGTGTTTTGCTTGCACGTGCCTCACCCTGCCCGTTCTCATGGCCTGTGATTGGATGAGCAGAAAAGGAGCTGGCCAATGATCTTAGTAGAGCGGAATAAACAGGACCAGCTGTCTAGATGTTGGTCATATGATGTGCCTTTTTTACTGCCTCTGCAAAATTAAGGAAGATTCGGTTTAACCGCTTTTATTTTCAGTGCCACTAAAAAAATAAGAGTTTTAAAAACAGTCAAGTACAGAAGGTGGATTTTCTTCTTCATCTGGCAAAAGTGGTGAGTCATTTTGTAGTTTTTCTTTTTTCTTTTTGCATGCAGGGAAACGTCAAGAGGCGAGTTTAGACACGATCTGTTTTCTCGTAAAGTTGTGTTGTTCCAGACAGAAGCAGGCAATATAACGTTAAGTCACCATCAGATATCTAACCAAACAGTTCTGCAAATCAACATAGTAGAGAGTCGCCACACTCTTTCCTTCTGCCCATTGAGGCAGATGATATGCATGCACTAATCACAAGCTTCTGTTTAATCAATGGCCTGAACTGTCAGCGGTTCTCTTTAGTTCCGTTTGCTTAACGTTACTCTGCTCAAACTCCACGGAGTTCCCCTTCGAATGGTTGCCATGTAACGTTAAATGCAAGAGTAAAAACATTATTACTTTGAAATGCAAATTATGTGCCAGTACAGGCGCCAAACGGAATAGCTAAATAAATAAATTATTAAATGAATATGGTTGTCAACAGATTGTCAAAAGTTTGGAATAATTAGTTCATTAATAAATATTTGTTTTATGTTTTTGAATTAAGTCTCCTATACTCACCAAGGCTGCATTTATTTGATGAAAAAAAAAAAAAAACTAGTATTGTGAAATTATTACAATTTTCAATAATATATAGTTTTTGTGATGCCAAAACTGCATCATAACTCCAGTCTTCAGTGTCACGTGATACCTCAGAAATCATTCTAATATGATTTGCTGCTCAAGAAACATTTATCATTATTATCAATGTTGTAAACAGTTGTGCTGCTTAATATTTTTTTGTGGATACCCAAAGTTAGGCCACACCATTGGTCGAGGTTGGCAGAGAGCCGCCTCCTATTTTTGTGATTGGCGAACAGATTCAGATTTTGTCAGGTAGAAGCATTTTATGCTTGGTATTCATACAAATGTTTTAAAAAAATATCACACTGATTGAGTTAAACTGAATTCATCTTTGCATTGGTGAATTATTGATAATGCAAACAGTTTATCATATGGAAATGAGTAGCTGACTGATAAAGATACAAGCATTGATTTATTGACATAGAGCAAGGGTCAGTTTTAAACATCCCAGGATCGCTTTAATGGCTACACGTCAAAACTATCTTTTATAGTCGTACTATAAACAACCATTGTGCATGACCCTAAACTGTCACTTGCTTTAAGGACTTGCAATGATGGCAGCACCGCTGGAACAGTATCGAGAGAGAATCCGGACCGAACTGGACAGAGTTGTGGATTTCTGGCTGAAATATTCCCATGACAAAGAACATGGGTAAAAATATTCACATTTGCATGCATGGCTTCAGCAGCATTTCCCATATAATTCAAAACAGATTCATAAGATTTTTTAAATGGTCGATTTGAGTCACAATGATGTAGGTTATGGCATATAGGTTCTTACTTTGCTATAAATGTTAAAGTTAATTATAGTTTAACACGTGAATTAAATATTATGCCCTTGTTAAATGTTTGTTTCATTATATTGACTTTAGTGGATTTTTTAACTGCCTTGGAAAAGATGGGAAGGTCTATGATGAGCTGAAATACGTGTGGTTACAGGGGAGACAGGTCAGAGCAAACATGTTTCTCATGTTTAAATATCAATTTATTTCTATAATAATCAGTAGGGCCCAGTTGTTTAAAAGTAATCTGATTGGATATTATCATATTGGATCAAATTTTGAATATAGGTTCTTCAAAAGAAGGATTCTGAAATCAGGTTAGATTACAGAATTCAATATTGGTTTTGATCTGAATCAAATCATCAGTTTGTGTTGTTCAAAACGTTTTAGTAAGATTGGGAACCTTTTGATACTAAAAAGGATTATTAAAAAAAAAGGTTTTGTGCAATTATTTAATTTAAAGTGGGTTTTTATCACTGTTTGTAAAATAAATTGGCACAATCATAAGAAATGAACCAGTAAAAAGTTATTTGCGAGTGAATGCAAAGTTTCTTATGTGAATGCTACGCAAAAACATTTTTCCCCCCATCTCCTTCGGGCTCTATAGAGCTCTAGTTATCCAGGTAATCTGAAATAGTGTGTATCTGGATCAGGTTGATCCAATCCAATTTAGCTTTTAAAAACCGCCACAAAAGTAAAAATAGACTGCCTTATCCTGGATAGCAAAGCATGGGATTTCCAAATCCAGATCATTCTGATCCAAATGAAACATTTTGAACAACTGGTCCTAGCTGATTAAATGAGAATCTTGTTTAATTGTTTTTCCAATGTCTGATGTATGTAATGTATCCACCAGGTATGGATGTACAGCAAGCTGTATCGTACAATGGAAAGATTTCACAAGCCTGAGATTCTTGAGGCTGCTAAATCAGGTTTGTGATTCAGTTACACTAGCTATCAATAAACACACTACCATTCAAAAGTTTGGGGTCAGTAAAAAAAAATATATATATATATATACTATTATTAATCAAGGAAGGCCAAAGGGTACATTAAAGTGATCAAAAGTGACATATTGTTGCATCTATTCATCAAAGAATCCAGGAAATGCATCACTGTTTCCACATTAAGAAAACACAACTGTGTTCAACATTAATAATAATAATAAATGTTTCTTGAGCAGAAAATTAGAATGATTTATGAAGGATCATGTGACATTAATGCTGAAAATTCAGCTTTACCATCACAGAAACAAATTACATTTAAAAGTTTAGAAAAGTTCACAATATTACTAATTTACAGGGTTTTTTTTTTAGCAAATAAATGCAGCCTTGCTGAGCAATAAAAGACTTCTTTCAAAAACATAAAAAAAAAAAAAAACTTACAACCCAAACTTTTTCTGTAAGCAGGGTTCTCACGGATCCTTAAAAAGTCTTAAATTAGATTTTTTAAATATAAGGCCATAAAAAGTCTTATTTTTACTTATGAAAGGTCTTAAATTTTAGATGACACTTCGATTTAGTCATATCTCAATGTTTTCCAAATTAGAAATATCTTATTTGCGTACGTATTGTTTTTATTAGCCTATTCTATCTTTGTGGATTTGCAGGTTCAAATTTGCTTGTTACCAACAAAATGTTGAAAACATCGAGATATATATTTTTGTCAATATTGCACACCCCTAATGTATGGTATTAATTTTGATTTCTTCAGGTCTTAAAAAGGTCTTAAAAAGCCTTAAATTTTTCTTTAAAAAGTGTGCAGGAACCCTGTGTAAGGTGTGCATTTTTGTGCATTTTAACTGCAAAATGTCAATAAAATAAGAGAGATCATAACTTTTTTGTTAAGTACTGGCCTGAAAAACCTATTTCACATTAACACGTTTACACATACAATAGTCCGAAAGACAAAATAGAATCAGAATGTACACAAATGAGCCAGTTCAAAGATTAATATGTATAAACTTGTATATATATTGTTGTTTTAATGTACATTTTTAGTTATTTCTTTTCTTTTTTTAAGCATCACAAAATGAGCTCCCACACTTCATTGCAAAACTGAAAGTGTTTTTTTTTTTTGTGATTGTTTCTGATTACAGCATTTGATCTTGCAGCTTTAATCCTGATATACACACATACACATTGAATTTCAGGAGCTGCATTTCTGCAGAAGTTTGCTCGAGTTCCGGCCTCCAGCGGCCCGGGGAAATGTGCGTTCTGCCTGACGAGAGATGGTCGAGCGGTGAAGGTTCAAAGGACGATATTCAGCGAGTGTTTTTATGTGATGGCCATGGACGAGCTGTCCAGGATTACAAAAGACAAAGAGATGCAGGTAAAACTATTAGTCAATATCTAACCTATAAATTAAAGGGATACTCCACTTTTTTTTTGGAAATAGGCTCATTTTACCACTCCCCCAGAGTTAAACAGTTGGGTTTTACCGTTTTCGAATGCATTCAGCCAATTTATGAGTAACCATAAAGTTTCTGGTCTCATTGACTTCCATAGTGTATTTTTTTCCTACTATGGAAGTCAATGAGACCAGAAACTGTCTGGTTACTGATATTCTTCTAAATATCAGAAAATCGGCTGAATGGATTTGAAAACTGTAAAACTCAACTGTTTAACTCTGGGGGGAGTTGTAAAATGAGCCTATTTCCAAAAAAAGTGGAGTATCCCTTTAAACCTATGTATTGAAGTGGCTATGAAAGTTACCTGCAACTTAATCCAGAAAAAACAGAGGTTTTAATTGTAGCACCAGACAGTGCTATCCCTCTGATTATGCAGAACATTGGACCGTTGGCATCTGCTGTCCGGACTAGTCTAAGGAACCTTGGGGTGACATTTGATAAATCTTTATCCTTTGAAAGCCATATCAAATCCCTTACTAAATCCTGTTTTTTCCACCTCCGTAATTTAAGTAAATTGAAGTCTGTGGTATCCCAATCAGAAATGGAGATGCTCATCCATGCCTTCATTTCCTCCCGTATAGATTACTGTAACTCACTTTTCTTTTCGCTTAATAAATCTGCCCTACATCGACTGCAATCCATTCAAAATTCAGCTGCTAGATTACTTACTCGTTCAAATAGACGCACCCATATCACCCCAATACTCCGCTCCCTTCACTGGCTTTCGGTTACCTACAGGGTCCAATTCAAAATATTAACTATAACCTTTAGGGCCTTACATGGTCAGGCCCCTGCTTATCTTGCTGAGCTAATTCATTTTCACACTCCTCCCCGGTCTCTCAGGTCTAATAATCAAAAGTTGCTATCTACGCCACGCACTCGTTTAAAGACATGTGGGGACAGGGCCTTCGCCGCTATGGCACCCAGATTATGGAATGCCTTGCCTACCAGTATTAGGTTGGCTGAGAATGTGGACAGTTTTGACTCACTTGACTCACTTGTTCAGGTTAGCTTTTGGGTAATCTCTGTATTTTACATGTTGATGTTTTTATCTGTTTTATTTTACTTTCTATCAAATAATTTTTTGTATATTGTAAAGCGCCTTGTGACTAAGTCTGTGAAAGGCGCTGTATAAATAAATTTTACTTACTTACTTACTTACTATGGTTGTACTTATATATTTTTAGTAAACAGTTAATAGCTTTGAATGACTTTTTAGCACATGTGTTTGTTTTCTCACCTGATTCTAATAACTTCATATTTTTAGCTTATTTTGTATTTGTAATGGTTGATGTCAGGGTACCTTCTGTCCTTGTTCTCACCAGGCAGATGCTGAGAGCATGATGGATCAGTTGGTATTCTGGGTTCAGAAGGATCCGTCAGGTCTTGGTCGTCCTCAGCTTCCTGGTGATTTGCCTGTGAACAGTATGGCAGTTCCCATGATGCTCCTGTGCCTGGTAGATCAGCTGACAGAGGGTAGAACTGATGTTGTGGAAAAGTACAAAGACCTCAGCGGGTGGTGTGTGGAACGGATATTACAGCACATACAGGTGAGCTAACCTGTATACAAGCTTTAGTGATGTGGAACTAAGCTTAGGATGTGAATGTAAACTTCCAGATGATGGAAACATCAAAATGATGATACGTTACACTAAATTCTTTCATCTCAGAGAGATGAAAAAGCCATTTTGGAAAGTGTCACGTTGGATGGAAAGGAACTTCCTGGATGTCAAGGGCGGTTGCAGAACCCTGGTAAGTGATCGTTTCAAAACTTAAAGTCACAGTCTTCCATATAAATTCAACATCTATTCCCAGACAGCAACACAGATCTGGCCTACATCTGGAATCCACATGTACCAGATGTGGCCCGGATCTGGGCCGACACTGTTGCAGTCTGGGTTACTTCCTGTGTGACGTCTCTTTCTAGGGCACGCTCTGGAGGCCGGCTGGTTCCTGCTGCAGTATGCGCTGACTAAAGGAGACGTGCAACTGCAGAAGACGGCGGTCGATAAGTTCATGGAGATCCCGTTCCACACCGGATGGGACAAACAACATGGCGGTCTTTTCTATTTCCTGGATGTAGACGGTCATTGTCCGACTCAGGTTAAATTATACCCATGATTTGGTGTCAGATATATGGGAAAGCAGGGTTAGCTTTAAAGGGATACTCCACTTTCGTTTGGAAATAGGCTCATTTTACCACTCCCCCAGAGTTAAACAGTTGGGGCAAGTTGTTCAAAACATTTAATCTGGATCAAAATGATCCGGATTTGGAAATCCCATTTTTTCCTATCCAGGATCAGGTAATCGGTCTTACTTTTATGCCGGTTTTTCAAAGCAAAATTGGATTGGATCACCCTGATCCAGATACACAGTTTTCAAGATTACCAAATCCGGATTACCAGTGCTCTAAATGGGACAACATATCAGCCGCGTTTCCACTGCCGGGCTAGGGCTGGGCCAGAGCTAACAGCGAGCCGAGCCGAGCTAGTGGCCTCGGGCCTCAAGCACCGGGCTTGCGTTTCCACTGCCGGGCCAGTAGCCCCACAGCGCTGCCCCAGACCCCACCCCTAACACGCTTTTCTGAATCAAACGTCATAAAACCCAACCCATTTCAGCGGGTATTATGAATTAATTTATTTTTTAAATTAGGAAGATAGCATGTAGCCTATATTAACTCACCTGCCGTAGTGGCTGCAATAGTGTCACGAGACCAGTACAGGCGATTCTCCATTTCAAGCAGCGATTTTTTGCGCGATATAGCCTGTTAACAAATGCCGCCTGTTAACAAATAACAAACGCCGCAACCTCGAGATACAGAGTTAATTTTTAACACCTTTAATAACTGATTGGACCCCATTTGAAACGAAATTAATTTATAGAAATAAAACGCAGCAATTACGGAGCAGTTAAAGCCGCTTTTCCATCACCCTTCAAACTGAAATTGCCAATTGAAAATAAGCAAAACATCCATTTCACAAAAACTCTGTGTCTGCAAATAATAATAATAACCATCATCATCATTATTGTAACATTTTATTAGGCTGCATATGTAGAAGACGCCTTTATCCAAAAAAGGAACAGAGCACAAATAAACACAATATTTTTGACGCATATCAGCGCATATCCAGTGTGTGTGGAGCACGCACAGATGGCTGCGAGACGCCCAGGTGAACACTTGCAGTTTCATTGCATTTCTTTCAGTGGAAACAACTTAAAATACTCTTTCATTTCTGGTCATACAGAAAATAATAATACATTATTCGCAAATACATTTATTTGCGTAAACTCACAATAACAAGAAAACGTTGTGCTTTAACAATTAATCAAGGCGCGCTTCATGATCTCCGTGAACTGAAGCGCGAGACCTGAAACAGCCACCGCATTCGAATTTGTTCGTTTTAAATTGGACATTTAAAGCTTTAGTCTTGTAGATTAAAGCTTTAAATGTCCAATTTAAAACGAACAAATTCGAATCGAAAGCCAATATCTTTCTGACTATGTAATTATGTAGCTAATTAATTTCTCTCTAAATGTGCATCCGGAGATGGAGATATGTTTTTAGCTGAAAATCATTTAGAAAACAATAGTTTATTAATAAACAATTAATGCCTCGTTATTTTATATTATTTTATTATCAGACACATTTATTATAGTCTATAAATCACCTATAATCCTCTTTCTGTAGGCTGTGGTTACGGCTCTTCTCATTCAGCACTGCAGGGAAAATATCATTTCCAGGTTCTAATTTGGCCTCAGAAAACCAGTAAAATATATTTTTTTTTCATATTAATTTGTCAAATATTTTAAATATTTAAGGGGCAAAAAATCAAACAAATTTGTCGATGTAGCCTATATATAGCCAAGATATGTGCATCTTGCTTCAGATCATAACGTTCCATAACACCGATAAACTCCGCCTTTTACCTTGAGCACGCAGCCCGAGCTGGCCCCCTCTGGCCCAAGGTATTCGACGGGCCAGAAATCCTGGCCGTTGGCCCTGAGGAAGCCCCGATCAAGCCCCGGAAGTGACAGTGGAAACGCGACTGGCCCTGGCACGCACTAGCACGGCCCGGCCCTGGCCCGGTAGTGGAAACGCGGCTAATGTGGGCTACCAGCTGTTTAAAGAACAGGTAGAAGAGCCAACATGGGGTTACTGTAAGTCAGGGGTGCCCAATCCTGCTCCTGGCGATCGACTGTCCTGCACAGTTCATCTCCAACCCCAATCAAACACACCTGAATGTGATCCTAAAGACCTTAATTGGCTACTTCAGGTGTGTTTAATTAGGGTTTGAGATGAACTGTGCAGGACAGTCGATCGCCAGGAGCAGGATTGGGCACCCCTGCTGTAAGTGTTTCTTATTTTGAGACAAAACAAATGGGGACAAGATAATTTTTTTTTTTTTTTACAGTACTTTACTATACTGAATAGGTTAATTGTTAGCCTATGTATACTTTATCACTGTTACAACGGTTACACAAGTCAAGTGCAAAATATAAATAAAAGTATACACTAAATGATACAAATGTATTATTGGACCAATTTTAAAGTTTTACTACATTTTCTTCCTGAAATCCACCTTGAAATCCTACCAGGATCAGGGTAATCCTGATTTTTTGGATCAAAGTTATCCAAATCCCACTGGCAAGTTTTGAACAACACAAACCAGACAGTTTCTGGTCCCATTGACTTCCATAGTAGGGAAAAAATATACTATGGAAGTCAATGAGACCAGAAACTGTCTGGTTACTGATATTCTTCTAAATATAAGAACAACGGCTGAATGGATTCGAAAATGGTAAAACTCAACAGTTTAACTCTGAGGGAGTTGTAAAATGAGCCTATTTCCAAAAAAAGTGGAGTATCCCTTTAGCACAAATGTATAATTTAAGGACAGCAAGATATTAAATGTTATGATGGATGGGATTTTATAGAATATCTGGAAAATATCTGGAAGAGCTGTTGTGAAACTGTAGGTGGCGCAGACAGTTGATTCTGCAGCCAATGAGCTTGCTGTTCAGCATTTCAATAGTTTGGTTCTGTGTCCGCTGTAAGCCAACTACACCTCTCTAGATCTGCTACAGGTCATCTTGCATGCTCACATCATTATGTCTCCATAAAACATGAAAACCCGTCGTGTGTGTACAGTTAGAATGGAATATGAAGCTGTGGTGGCCTCACTGCGAAGCTCTGATTGCCTACCTGATGGCTTACAGTCACCTCAGAGAGAATGTGTTACTGGACCGATTCAAACTGATCTACGACTACACCTTCAGACATGTAAGAACGCATTACAGAGACATGTAATAAGTTATATATATTGGGTGTAAAGTATCACATATGTCCATTGTTGTCTCTGCTCAAGTTTTCTGATGAAAAACATGGCGAGTGGTTTGGATATCTGAGTCGTCAGGGAGAGGTTGTGCTGGATTTCAAAGGAGGACCCTTCAAAGGTGAGTAGCTACAGTTGAAGTGTGTTTTCTATTTGAATATTTAATTCATTCCGGTGAAAGCTGAATTTTAAGCATTTTAACTCCAGTCTTCAGTGTCACATGATCCTGAAATCATGCCTAGTCGCTGCTCAAGAAACATTTATTATCATTGTTAAACAGATTCTATTGACTAAAGAACTGCATTTATTTATTATCTTTTTTATTTAAAAATTTACTTTAACTTTTGCTCAAATTGATCTATCCTCAAAAAAAGTGTTTTGTTTTTATATATTTCTGACCTTTCCAAACATCCAAGTTTATGCATTTCAACTTTGAACCGTGACACATTACTGTCATCTCTGTACAGGGTTCTTCCATGTTCCTCGGTGTCTCTACATGTGTGAGAAGCTTCTGGATGGTCTTCTTGAAAAGCAGGATTCTTGAATTTACAGTGATATTTTGCACTCCATCACCAGATGTGACAGGCAGTGTAAATTACATCCTTTGCATGAATAATTACAGTTTTAATTATACCAATACTTCCTGTCAAACTGTATTACAGGTTCATAGTTTTCATGTGCCATTATTTTTTTCTAGCCATTCGCGTAACATATAAGCGAAAAAGGGACCATAGTTATTATTTCTAAGATTAGTTATGTTTAGAATTAAGATTAGATTAGTTATTTTTTAGCCATGGCCAGTACTATGTTCAGAGGTTGGGTATATCACTAAAGGGTTTTCTTGATACAATACAAAAAACAATGTTCTCTAACTACTACTCTCTGATGATCATGTGCTGCTCTTACGAGTGCCTTTGTTAATCACTTTTATAATTCTGCACTCATTAGTAGCTGAACCATGTAAAGACATTCCAACTGCTCTGAATAAATGTACATTTACTGAAATGACTATCTTTGATTTTGGCTTAGTACAGCACTTTTATCATATTATTTAGCTGATACTAAATATATGTAAAGCTCAATACTCTGATACAGATGAAGGCTGTAAGGTGTCTTGCTCACTGAACCTCCGAAACTCTTCAACCCACAATTGTAAACCACTTCAGGTACATTTAGATGACGACAATGCACTAAAAACAGAAGTGTCTCCTTTGCGTTTTCACGTACAGGCAACATTGTCAAAATGATCCCTTTTCACACGGATCTGTGAAAATTACAAAACACTATATTATTCATGCCAGGCCAGTAGGTGGCAATGTCACTTTAAGAAACACTTAAGTTTTCATAAATTTGTGTTTCTCAGAGCCCGTCTAACGGAGAGCCTTGGCACTTCCTATTAGCCCCGTTGTGTATCATTTTGGTTGCAGTTCCATTAGAATTCCACTGGAGGTGATCGCGGGCGAGTGCAGAATGAATGGGAGTCTATGGGGCTAAACGGCTAAATGTGTCTCTTTCACCTGCTTGTCGTTAAACCAACATAGATTTTATTGTTGATTCCGCAAGTTCAATATACTGTAGATTATAGGCCAAATTTCGAATGAACGAGTACTTATGTCCTTTTAATTTCTTACAGGTTAGGCTGTAGTTGGCTGGAAAACGTTAGCATTCTGCTATTGTGTGACGTCATTACATTTTTGAACGGATTTTTAGAACAGATAAGTGAACTTAAAAATGCAATTTTCAGCTGAGTGTATTTTCTTAGTCCTCCCATTTGAATGCAACTTTAAAGGGTTAGTTCACCCAAAAATGAAAATTAAGTCATTAATTACTCACCCCCATGCTGTACCAACCCCGTAAGACCTTCGTTCATCTTCGGAACACAAATAAAGATATTTTTGATTGAATCTGAGGGCTGGATCACTCCTCCATAGACAGCCTGAGGGACTGCCTCTTGACGGCCCAGAAAGTCATTAAAAGAAAAGGTTTAAATATTCCATGCGCCTACAGTGGCTCAACTATAACTTTATCAAGCGACGAGACTACTTTTTGTGCGAAAAAAAAACGTAAATAACGACTTTATTCGACTTTCCATTACTTCCTTATGGGCGCATGCGCGAGAACTGAGACGAGACCGTTCTTCTTCGACTACTTTTTGTTACCGGCTGGCGGCTGCTCACCGCTTAGGAGTTTTACCGCCCCCTACCGTATAAGATGACGTACTGATATAGCCGGAGGCGCAAAACGTTCTGTTTACAAGCAGTACGTCATCTTATACGGTAGGGGGCGGTAAAACTCCTAAGCGGTGAGCACTGAGCAGCCGGTAACAAAAAGTAGTCGAAGAAGAACGGTCTCGTCTCAGTTCTCGCGCATGCGCCCATAAGGAAGTAATGGAAAGTCGAATAAAGTCGTTATTTACGTTTTTTTTTCGCACAAAAAGTAGTCTCGTCGCTTGATAAAGTTATAGTTGAGCCACTGTAGGCGCATGGAATATTTAAACCTTTTCTTTTAATGACTTTCTGGGCCGTCAAGAGGCAGTCTAGGCAGACATCAGGCTGTCTATGTAGGACTGATCCAGCCCTCAGATTCAATCAAAAATATCTTTATTTGTGTTCCGAAGATGAACGAAGGTCTTACGGGGTTGGTACAGCATGGGGGTGAGTAATTAATGACTTAATTTTCATTTTTGGGTGAACTAACCCTTTAAAATTACTTGACAAATTACATCCTGAGAAAAGTGGATTTCTGGGGGTGAAACCCCATTGACTCCCATTCATTCCGCACTCGACCGCGAGCGCCCCCGCATGGACAGAGACGTGTTACTGCAGCCGGTCCAGAAACCGGAAGTAACCAGCCAGTGCCAATTCTCTTCAATTAGACATTCTCTGGTGTTTCTGTAGTTTACGCAGAGACAATAACGGCATAGTTTTCAAAAGTTTGCGTATCCAGGTCCCCAAAACTACTTTATGTAAAAGAACAGCCAAAACGCATCAAAAGTTTTCTGTTTTTAGTGTAAAACGGTGGCATGTAAACGACCCAGAGGCTACCATTATAAAAGTAATTAAACGGATTCCTAAAACAATTCTAAACTTTTATTTTCTAACAAGAGTGAAAAGAAACAAAGGCAACATTTAAATGAAAATGTTTATACACAAACTCACGACAATGCGTGTCTGCAATACCAATAATAATAATAATATAATAAGAATTATTAGAACCCCAGCAACAATAGATGGAAAAAAAGGGAGTTAAAGTGAGATTTTGTACAGTTCTGTGGAGAGAAAGAGAGCAGGAAGCTTAAGAGACAACAGTATCACTGAAAGGAAATGACAATGAAGACCGTAAAACTCAGAGGAAAAGAAAGAAAGGACTACGCAGTAACCTATCTTAGGAAAAGTAGCACCAGAACGTAAATGCCTTTGTTTTTTCCATCACACTTTCAAAATATTGTACTAGTTTTATTCACAATGTCGAGTCTCCCTGACAAAATGTGAGACTCGGTACAAAAAGAATACAGGTGTCATGGCAGCGATACCAGTGCTCTGATACACGCCCCTCCTCTGCCTGGCCATCAAGTGTGTGTGTGTTTGTGTGTGTGTGTGTGTGAATACCTGGACAAGTCGTATTATGCAGCACATGGCATTTGCGTTAAGAACAGTTTGGTACATCAATATTGTAAAGACAGCTTAACTGCAGGGCAAAACCCATTTTCTCCTTCCTCAAAGAGAACAGAGACCTGCAGCCCACGTCAGTGAAATGTTCAGGATGAGGTGTGTGAACAGAGGCCAACGGGAAGAAAAACAGGAAAAAGTGCAGCGGTTAGTATCATGGGGAGCGTCCATTTGATGGGTCGAAAAGAAGAATTAATGTGAGCTTATTATGTGAGGAAATGAGCCTGAGCCCTGTGTTTTTCTGTCTCTGTGGTTCTCCTCTCAATCGCCATCTGCCCCTACACAGCTTCAGGAAAACATCACCAGATCTGCAAGAGCAACAGAAAGTCCTTTAGTTTCTGATGGCCCTCACAGATAACACGTGTGCTTGCAGTTTGATTTTGAGTGGGTACCTCTGTGGGTGGTGTGTGACTGACAGGTCTTGTCTTCTTGCATTCAGAAGCCTCTGTGGATTTAGTCCCGCCTTCAGTTTTCTGGCTCTTTCTCTTCCTCTTGGTGTCCTTTGACTTGTTGCCACGACCTGAGCTTCTCTGCTCCTGCAGCTCAATCTGATTAACAAACACAAAAAAAGTCAAGTCTAATTATGAGGAGCCCAAAATGGCAGCAAAAAGAAGAAACATTTCTGAATTAAGGCAAACAGAAAACCACATTGAGCAGCTTGAACAAAAGATTTACAAATATCTAGAATAACTGTTCGTTCACACAGCCACCGACTTGAGCTTCCAAAGTGGCCGGAAGTCATACATTTTCAATGGAAGCTGGCTTTTCTCAGCTGCAAGGAGCGTCAAATCCATCACGCCAATCAGAAAGTTGAAAGAAGCTCAACTTTATGGTAATGAGCTATGACGCAGTTCAGTGGCAAGTGGCGGCAAAACGCCAGCAACCAATCGGAATATAGACGTCCTTCGCGCTGGCTGATTCCGGAGAAACATACAATGTAAACCTTCGTTCCTACCAAAACATTAGTTCCGAGAACATGGAAGAGAAGCTAATAAATGCCGTTGCTGGGTTTCCTACAGGTTTCCTACCTGCTGTTTTTTACCGCTCACCGAGATTGAAGAATCTCTTGGGGTAAAACAGCACTCATCACTGCCATTTTTTAATGTAAATGAAAGTAAAGTGAATAGGAAGCGAAAAGAACATGGAAAAATTTATAATGAAAGGGTAGGAAAATAAAATACAGATTAGGAAATTTAAAGGAATAGGAAAAGAAAAAGGAAGTGGGAATAAAATGTAAAGCTAAGAAAAGGGGAAAGAAAAAAATATTGTCATATAATTTTTGGCATTATTTTGAGAATGCAAGACACACACAGACACATGCCTATCTGCATAATTCTTTAAAAAAATTATAGACCTCTAAAGGTTTTTTTTTATTTGACACAAATACTAATTTAACTTGCACTGCAATGCAACAGTGAAAGCACAAAGTTCCAATCCTGCTCAACTCCATTTCTTTATTCATGATTGATTAAAATTGTATTGCATATAATCTGTGCTGGTCAATTAGTCTAAAATAATAATAAAAAAAAAAAACCTAGATACCAGTAAAAAAACAACAGTTGTGTACATGTTATTTATTTTAAATTGGCTACTTAATTGATAATTCCAATATCCAAATATGATATTAAATCCTACAGGGAAAAGGGCTTATATTTGTGCTTTCTTTGCATTTGAACATTAGGCTACACATTATAAACTGGACACGCATTAGCTGAATAAACTTTAGCCAATCCAAATACATTTCTAGAAAACAGTTATCAATGAATAGACAGGAGTCCTGTCACATGACCAATAATATAATTGATCAAATAGACGAATATCCGACATTATGAGGGCTGTTAACAGTAAAGTGTCCGTTGCTTAACGATTTGTAAAAACACGAATAGACAAGACAAAAAGCTTTGACATTATTTTGACAAAGAAAACACAAGCAAGAACTTTTGCCTGACAATTTTTATTTTACAAATATCTTTTCTCTGTGTGCACGCAAGTCTCTCGCAGCACTGATACATGAGATCATACAATGGTCGTTTAATCCATAAGTAAGTTACGCCAACTAACTCTAGTTTTCATACAAAATAAATACGTAACATAATTCTGTACTTTAGTTATTAACATAACGTAACACATGCAGGCCATGTTTCTCAACACTGAGAATGAAAAAAATAAACGCCTGTTTCTCCAGATTCGCGCTTTACGTTATCAGTCATCCACAAACCACAGCACTGTCATAATCACTAAGACACAGCGATTTCAATTTTATTTAGATTTATTGTTCAACATTTGAGGATTTTTTTCATTTGCATGGCTGAATGTCTTCCTCTTATCTGAGTTACCATGAAAGAATTACGGAGTATTATTTAAATAATCCTTGCGATCCCGTCCCGTGTGATAACTAGAGCCAGACCGATATATCGGCAGGCCGATATTATCGGCCGATATTAGGCATTTTCCGAATCATCGGTATCGGCAGTTATAATGGCCGATAAATGAATATTTCAAAAATAAAATAAAAATAGATGAAACACGCTTCAACCATGTCATGAGTGTTGGAGTTGTATAGTTTGTCCACCAGAGGGCACTCTACACCGTCCCTGTTGGCAACACTCCTTGAGTTGGTCACGAGACATACATTGCTTGAATAACAATTAAAAGAACATCCCCATCAGTTCTCTTAACCCAGATAAGCATGACAAAATTTGTGACTATCATGTCCAGTTTAAAATAAATAAATAAAATATCGGCCGATATATCGGATTTTAAAACCCAAAAATATTTGTATCGTTATCGGCCTTCAAAATCCTTTATCGGTTGGGCTCTAGTGATAACCAATCAATTATAAATGAACTCAAATTCAATATTTCAACTTTCCACATCCACCCCAGCCCGTTTACCTTCAGGAGAAGTACCGTGACTACTGTAGGCCTACTGTCCTCGCTTAAATCAGTCAGACCCGGGGCGCGTGCGAGTGGAAGCGGGATCGAACGGGATTCTTTATTGGTGTCGATTTTCAGTCTCTTTTTAATTATGGGACTTACACATCTGTCATTCATCTCCCCTTGCAATTTGGGGAATGAACCCAGCGCTATGATTGGTCGAACTCTTCTCTTGCTGTTGCTTTATTTGAGGACTGCGCATGCAAATAGGCATCACCAGGTTTTTGCGTAGTTTAAAATGACAAATCGTACCAGCGTACTTTGAGGTCAAAATGCGTGCCCACTACGCAAAATGCGTACATATTGGCAGGTATGGAGTTGTAAAATGAGCCTATTTCCAAAAAAAGTGGAGCATCCCTTTAAGTCTATGACCAGTCACACAGGTACAGGGCTACTTTGATTTCGATAAGTGACATTACATATACGGTTCACAAATGTAACCATTATGAGGAAACAAAAAATGTCTTCACAGCACAAATATAGTGATCTGAAAGGCTCTTCCCTCACCTGTATGAGTGTGTGCAGAGCATCATGGGGCGGCTGTGACGCCGCCTGTAGGATCCTATAAATGGTGTGTGTCTGGTCAAGCGTGACCTCAAGCAGGTCCCCTTCTAGCTGAAGCTCCTCCAGCTGTTCTCTAGTGGATGTGCTCAGCTCGATCACCGGCCCTTTAAGACACGACACTAGTGACGACAGAGACTCCACCCCTGACAAGAGAGAAAAGCCAATGGGTTCAAATTGAATTTAAGCAGCTTAAACACTCATATCAGGGAGGCTAGTTTACAAACAAACCTGTAACATCATGAGTGCTTGACTTCCTGGTAATTCCATTCTCACAGCCAGACTGGAAGACGAAAAAAAACAAAAAAATGTTTTACAATTATGTTTGCATGTTAACATTTGTTTGATTTCATGAATTGTACAACTGCACCCCCTTACCGATGTGCCATTGGCAGCCTTCTCTTCACTCTTTTTTGGAGAGTTAACATCCTCCGTCAGATCGATAATATCTTCTGTTTCCTCAGAGTCAGACAGCACAATTACAGCATCTCCGTTCCATTTCTTTTTCTCCACTGGTTCTTCCTCTTTTACACTGACCATTTCCTCCTTCACTTCCTGCATACTCTCTAGCGCCCTCTGTACTTCTGGAGTGTCTAGTGCCTGTTTGGCTCGACCCTGCCAGTTAATGGCTCTCTCTGTAAGACACTGCAACGCCTCTCCCTCTGGCAGGCGTACAGGTAACCTCTGCAGCGCCACCAGCAGGGCTAGAATGGTTTCTAGCCGAGGCCGCCGTGATCGTTGGCACCGCGGACAGAGGAAACGTGTGTTCCAGTCCCACCAGCAAAGGGGCTTTATAGGATGCGTGTCGGAGGAGCCCAGCAGGGGTGGAAAGGGCACACAACCTCCGTGGAACCAGTCTTTGCACAGATGGCACCGGTGAAGCAAGGGGTGGGGCGGACCATTGCACACACATACTGATTGGCTAGGGTTGAGGGAAGGGGCGGAGCCACCATTCAGCAGTACAGGACTGTCTGAGTCGAGGGGCGTATCTGTCTCCATAGAGTCACTCTGTTTCGTTTCCAAATTGATGCCGTTCTGGTCACCGCTTGCTCCTTTTTCCACTCCGGGTTTAGTTAAATTAACCTGCTGAAGTCGAAGAATGGCCTCTTTCTCCAAACGCTCCCCCTCTTTGAATGCCATCACCTGATATTGATAATGTAAGTCACATAAACATGCAAAACTCAAGTTACAATGCAATTGGGAAAAAAATATAATGATCTAGGCTGTGTTCCAAAACCTAGAAAGCTGGTCCAAAATTTCCACACGTTAAAAGATAAATACGACCTCACGTTGTGTCAATCATGTTCACACAATGCCTCTAGAAATTTCATCCGTCATAAATTTCAGATCAGATTCAATTTACGGAGTCTTTTGTAACTGTAGCAAGCATTCGAGAGGTGTTTTGACAATTCAGAGCCACGGAATGATGAAAATTTCGGACTCAGTGTGCAAGGACCTTTTAAAACAGCCTTTGCATCTGAAGTGTACTCATGCCTTAAAAAATACAACCTCTGTAGCTAGCTCACTAGGTTTCAGAACAGAATTTTGGCCATACACAAGAGTCAGACAAACTGGTCGTCTGATGTATGAACACACTCAAAAGCTAATAGTAACTCACAATAGCTCCTGGGTCTCGAAGGTCCTGAGCAGTGAGGCCTAATACATTGACATCAGAATCTGCTTCTGTACCCAATGAGTTCTCCTCCCTCTTCTTGCTCTTCTCAACACATGGACACAACACCTGCACAGAGGTGAGGGGTTAAACGTCATCATGTAACACTAAATAATGACTATTTTTGATGTAAGAAACCTAACATGATATCAGAGACAATGGCCCCTTTAAGGAAGAATTAAGGCCCTTGAATACACACCAGTTCGTTCTTCAATTTCCCTTGTTGTCATTTTGAACAAAAATCAAAGTTTATTTCAGTTTTCCAAAGCAAACTTTCTGGAAAAGTTCACTCTGCTACCATTGGTCCATGAAGATTAGGTAGGGGTGCTCTGGGGCTCCACTTTCTTTGAAGTGAATATCTTCAACAGTTCATTTATTCTGTTCAGTCCGTTTAGGTCAGACACCCGTGAGTAAAAATATCACCACACTGGAGCTTTATAGTAGAAATTGAAGTCGTAATTCTAATTGAAAGCAACACAGAAAATGTTTTCCATGTAATACTGTTGCTTAAAAGCAATCTCTTGTATAAAGTGCTCTATAAATAAATGTGACGTGATGACTGGAGTGCCAAATTGCAGTGCTGAAGCAAACACATCCACATAGCTACGATGATCAGATGCTTTCTTACATCCACAACGAAAACAACATTATTTTTGGATTGAGAGGAAAGTGTGCAGCACAAATTTACATATTCATCTAAATGCCATTCCCAGCAACGAAGGTGGCATCGGGGCTAAAAATATACCACATCTCAGGTATTTCAAACTGCGTTGCCATGAATATATCAGGTCCAGGTGGTTTAGAAAGCATCAGTGTGTTCACCTCTAGCAGACTGTGCTGGCTGTTCTTCTTCAGGAAGGTTTTGCTGGCTTTCTCTCTCCACGAGTGAGCGCTGGCCACCTGCAGCTCCAGCTGCTTCAGCTCCTCCATCTTCACTGGCAGGTCCCGCCCAATGGCCACCAAACCCTCCAGGTCATCCAGACACGGGTAGTGCTCTCCGTTCTTCTCCACATGAGATTAGAGACAGAAGAGACATTCACACTTGGGTCACAACCCTGAATGGCCAAATCCCATTGATTTACAACATCAATTCCAGTTTATCAGAACTGGTTAACTAATTCTTACCTGAATTTCCTCTAGATCCGTGACCCAAGCGCGAGCTCGGCTTAAGCAGGCCTGCAGGGACAGGATGTTGGGCAGCTGCACTGGTATTAGCTGAGCCTCGTTCACGATGGCCTCCAGCGTCGACAGATGGTGTTTCTGCCTGCTCGCAAGACACAATTGAGAGATGAAAATGGAGGCTGTATTGGTGTGGTGACGAATTGCACCCCTCTCTTGAACCATCTCACCTGTCCTCCAGACAGATCTGTGCCTTCTCCTCCCAGCGCTCGGCTATAGTCAGTAGCTCTTGCAGTTCAGCCATGGCAGTCTCCACCGATATGCTCTGTGGTACGTTACAACCCGCCTCCATCAAGTTCCTCAGCACAGCTAGAGTCACCTCGCTCCCCTCTGGCCCTAATGTTCGCCTGACCTCTCCCAGCCAGCGACCCTGCTCCTGAAGCCCGCTCAAGAGCTCACATGCCGGGGCAACAACGGGCAACGACGCTCCCTCCTCCAGCAAGGCCTGGATCTCGGCGGCCGGGGGCAGAGGAGAGTCCTGCTTCCACTCGCCCTCAGCACTGTTAACCAGAGCTTGAGCACGGGATTCAAACTCCTCTATCTTCTGCAATAGCGCCTAGAAAAGACAAGACATGGTTACACTGATGGCTAATGCATGCGGCTGACACCTTTTAGGCTAATGTGTTATTCCGCCATATCTTTGGCCTATTTCTCCTCCTCACCTGCACTTCCTCCTGCGGTTTCATAACACAGGGCAGGTTCTGCATGGTGTCCACCAACGTCCTCAGCTCCTCCAGACTCATTTTACTGCTCTGGCTGTTGCTGAGGAGCTCTGTGCTTCTGCTCTCACACTTGCTTATGTCTGTGAGGACGGTGTTGAGGCGCTGGAGCAGCTCATTATTGGGGAACTTCTTGTCAGCTGCCTCTTCTTTCAAAACCTCCAGTTCTTTAATGTCTGAAGAGAGAAGAAAAAAAACATGCCATTGGGTTTTATTTTTTAAAGAAAATTAGTTTGCATGACTTTTCCAGTTGTTCATTATTTTGATAGGCAAAAACTGAGATTAAACCTGCATTTAAAAAAAAACAATCCTTTTTTTAACTCAATTTCTACCTATTAAAATAACTTAGAACTTGATATAACGGACAAAGAAAAATGTATATTCATTATCAACATGACAATAGTGTTTTAAGATTTTACTAAGTAACATGATTTTCCAGGTATAGAAATCCTACTTTTAAAGGGATACTCCACCGGGTTTTCATATTAAACTATGTTATTCCCTTAATTAAGACGAGCTGATGCATACCTCTCTCGTCTCAGTGCGTGCACTCTATTGCTCTGTATTGCCGCAAAACTATGTTAGCACTTAGCTTAGCCCAGTGCATTAAATATGGGCCAGAAAGAGAAGCGACCAAACACTTCCTCGTTTTCCCTATTTAAACACAGTTACTCGATTAGTGTAACTCGACCTAGGCTGGTGACACAAAATAAAACGTTGTGTTTTTCTAAGCGTTTAAAATTGATGACTATATTGTATGGCGGAATACCATAAAAAGTGCTTTAGAGCACTTCAACTTGGCACAATAATACCTTCACTCGTGAAAAGTCCTCTTACCGGCTCCCGCTTTGTCGCATGTCACGTTGGCTGCATTGAAGGAAATAAGAGGGAGGGGGAGAGCGAGGAAGCGGGAGCCGGTAAGAGGACTTTTCACGAGTGAAGGTATTATTGCGCCAAGTTGAAGTGCTCTAAAGCACTTTTTATGGTATTCCGCCATACAATAATATAGTCATCAATTTTAAACGCTTAGAAAAACACAACGTTTTATTTTGTGTCACCAGCCTAGGTCGATTTACACTAATCGAGTAACTGTGTTTAAATAGGGAAAACGAGGAAGTGTTTTGTCGCTTCTCTTTCTGGCCCATATTTAATGCACTGGGCTAAGTGCTAACATAGTTTTGCGGCAATACAGAACGATTAAGTGCACGCACTGAGACGAGAGAGGTATGCATCAGCTCGTCTTAATTAAGGGAATAACATAGTTTAATATGAAAACCCGGTGGAGTATCCCTTTAAAATTAGTCTCTAATCATGTATCCAGGCTTTTCAAGGCCCCGGTTCATCAAAGAAAACAAACAAACAAAGTTGTTGAGGGGATGAATAAAAGATTTTTAGTTGATTTAGCTTGCTTCAATACTAGTTTTGCATATTTTAAATAATTTTAAGTCTTCTTGAGGCCCCGTTGGGCATTTGCTCCAGGTTCCTGGTTGAAATCCACTGGTCTAATGGATGGCAGGACTTTGACATTCCCAGTCGAACTAATAAGAACTATTCACAAATGCAGTGAGATAGTTGCCAAAGGAAATGCAGTTACCTATTTTGTTGCCTTCTTCCTGTTCTAGAGCTTCCTTCACTCGGTTGGCCCATGAGTCAAAAGACTCAGCCCGAACTTTCAGCCGATGCAACATGGCCAAGAGTTCGTCCAGAGTATAGCGATACCTATAGAGAGGAGGGACCGAGAGCACATAAGACACGATGGACCCCAAGAATGTCATTAGTAAGAACTCACAGACAGGCACAGTACTGGTTTACCTGAGGTAGAGTTTTTCACTGGGGCAAGAGCAGAGGTCCTGTGCATGGTAGAGGCAGACAAGACGCTCCGGGCAGTTCGAACACGCCAGGGCTGAGAGGAAGCAGGTGGTTTTACATTTGTCACACTGCCTTTCATCATCAGGCAGTAACTCGAAGGCCTCCCTTTCAGCTTCCTTAATGCCCTGAGAGATGACACAACAATACAAAAAGCCAGCAACTTCATTTATTTGTGCGTGTTTGTGAGCGATGGTGTTTTTGAGCAAAGAGCAGCTGTTAGGTGTACTTATGCATCATGACCATTGGTCTGATTCACAACAAGCAAGATGCCAACTTAGTATTTTAGGCAGGTTAATTATAAACAATGAACACATTAGGAGGAGAATAAACTGGAGACAATTATGAAACCATTTCATAAACAGCACAAAACAGAACTTATTATTTTAAACTACCTATTTACTGTGGAAAAAACACCTGTTAAAATTAACCACATTAAATAGTCTACAAACAAACTATGGTTAATTAACTTCAATTTATTAAATTCTAATATTATATTATAATATTTCATTTTGAATGATGTTTTATACTTAATTATCGTATTTTTAATCATATATTTAATCATGTTTTTATGAAGGTTTATATAAAACTCTTAGATCAGTGGTAGACTTCCATCACTCTGCTGTGCTTTACTTCCTGTTATATATTTTAAAACTCTATTCAAATCTCTAGATCTTTTTAGTCTCCTTGCCCAGGTATTTTCCCTCATTTTGCAAACAAATCATCCCACTTACCCTTTCCAGCAGGCTTTTGCGTAGTTTTCTTTCCTCTTGAACAATGATGAACATTTCCCTGTGTGTGGCGGCAGCCAGGTTCAGATCCAGCTTCTCTGGGCACGCCGCCATCTTGCAGGTGAGTTCCTCATGAGAGAACACACAGTAGCGCCTCAGCCACCGGTAATGCTCGATGCAGGAGCGCCCTGTGGGCAGCTAGCACAGAGACAGGAAGAGGAACACCCTCAGTAACACACAACTGGCATACACACATTTAAAACTGGTAAGTATATTTAAAAGGTAGTTCTTCAAAGGTCTAAATCAAGGAGTATTTATGTCTGATGCATTTCATTACCCAGTCTGCAGTGCAGAAGTTGACTGCTTCAGCAAAGTTATATCCCTGATTAAAACCACTGTGATAAGCTCGCGGAAAAGTGATGACGAACTCCCCAGCACACTGATTGGTCCGAACCACCTGCCAATAAAAAGATTCATTATGGCCAATTAATAGTTTTCACATGACATCACACTCTTATAAGAAAACCCACCTGGAGAGCAAAACAAGGCTTTCCTTCTGCCCACAAGTTATTTTTACCAGGTTTGGTACAAATGTAGTAAGACAGAATGCATTAACAAGGTGTATATTGAATTTGGTCTTTTTTTATATCACTATGTGTACAGGAAAGCAGACGAACCTAGACATAAAACGTAATGTGCAGTTTCTTGTTAAGCGTTTTTAAATAGAAGACCATTATAAAGAAAAATCTCAACCATATAGGGTGTTGCATTCATCAGCTCACCTGTATATAGTATGCATACTGAATTTGATCTTTTAATATCACAGTTTTAGCACATTAAGGCACTTTAAGTGTTTTCCATGTTAAGCGTTTGAGAATGCCCTGCTATTTTAGAGATTTAAATACTGCAGCGGATGCTTTATATGGACCACAAGTGCCCAAAACTCGCATTTTGTTCATATATTTTTGTTTTTCTTTTGTTGAGAAGCATCTAAACATTTGTTGCTTGTAACAGATGGAAAATTGACAGCTTTGTGCTGCAGTTCTATGGATGTTTTGCCCTCCAGGTCTCCATGTCAGTCACCTGACTGAAAACAATAAATTGAGACCAGTGTTTTGAAGGCCCATTCACACAAAGCTTGACAAAACAATAACACCAACAAAACTATTCACATAGAACTCACAAATTTTTGTATATAAAATTGAAATCTCTTCAGGACACACACATATATATATATAAAAATAAATAAAAACATACATTATGACCAGAATACCTATTACTGCCAATCCACCGTGGCAAAAATTAACCAGTCACATTTCAAAGTCGTTCGCGAAACGACCGCCAGGTGGCGCAAAGGGACATTTAGCGAATTATGTAAAAGTAGCCTACATTTTAAATAGAATATAGCAAACTTTTAGAGCAGAACTTTTTATGAATCAAAAGTTAAAATAGACCTATTTCGAAGTGATGCTAAACTATTGAGGAATGAGAAGACTGAAGAGTGCTTCTCTCGCGTGTGCGCACACTGACTGCTGAACAATAGACCTTCTGGGCATTTCTCAGTGAGAGAAGTTGTGGTCGAGTGGTAGAACTTGGGTTTCAATCATTTCGGTGACACCATTTCAAATCCTGAATAAACATGGTATTTCTAAAATTACCATTCATTTCCATTTTACACTAAGTAACAAATCTCATCCAACAGATACTGAATTTACATTTTCAAAAGCAGTTCTGTTAAAAAAAATTAAAAATAAAACTTCATGGGATTCCACATAAGCAAAATGATTTGTCAAAAACATGGTTGTAACCTAAGCTAAGCAAGGTGCGATTTGCCAGTGGGGGATTTTATTCTAAGGTGAATTCAACAAGACATGCTGTCTTTGAAAGAGGCTATATATATATATATATATATATATATATATATATATATATATATATACACGCACACACATATATATATATATATTTTTTTTTTTCTCTTTTTTTCATGTGTATGAATGACACACAGCAACATATAGGCTACCGTATTATCAGCTGTATGATGTGTTTTTACCCTGAAATGTTTAATTTCGAGACTCAGCGTGCAGCGAAGGGAGACTAAATAAACTTGCTAAAAAGTAGTGATTATGAATTATTTTTAGGGCTGTAGTCAACCAAAGAAATCCTTAGTTGACCAAGGTCTTGTCCTGCGCAACGATTAGTCGACTAAAACGAAACAAAAAAACGGATGTTTTGATTGAACATTTTTAAGACAATTGTCATAGAGCATTTATAAAACAACAAAAAAACGTCAAAAATAGATACAACTATAATAATAATGAAATTCTTTGAAAATTAAGTGATTTTTTTTACTGCAAAAAGTGAGGAGATCTGTCCTAGGTCTATGGTGACAGTCACAATCGCGCACCTGCTTACACCAAACGCTACAAAAAATATAACTGCCATCTGCCACATAATGAAAAATATTAACAAAAGCTCTCGTTTATACAGGCTCTATTCTTCTTTACTTACAAAGCTATGGGTTAACTTTTGTCCAGCCATTATTTATTTTCACATGCGTCAAGTGTACAAATAAAAACATATTTAGAAAGCACAATCTGAGTCAGCATGATAAAGCCATTAAAAGGGCTGCTCACGTCTTTTGCGCGCTCAAGTTCGATTTCAAATGTAGGCACGCGATGTGGACCAACACGATCGCGGTCGCCTACCTCCACAAAAATGTAGCCAGACAAAGGTTTGGATTTCTTGGACATTTTGTCAACCAAACAAGTAGCGTGAACTGAATGAATACAGCAAAACTACCTACCGGTATATCCCTTACTGAGCGCGAGCAGCAGCGCAGACAGACACAGGTGCGGTTCCCGAGTGTATTATATGTGTGCGCTAAACTGTGGCGCAGTTACAAAAAATAGCCTAAATTAAATAATTTAAAGTTGGGGATAAAACATAGGCTAATTATATTTAGAATACAGTAATAAACAACTGCTATATAAAGGAATAAATATCAAGGAGTATATCATTGAAAATGTATTTCTATTGGTAAAAAAAAATTTTTTTTAAATGCGACTGGTCGACCAATAAGAATGTCAGTTGACCAAAACGGCATCGACTGATTAGTCGACTAAACGACTAAAGTTGACAGCCCTAATTATTTTACCTACGTTTCACTTGAATTCATCTGCTACCAGCTTTCAATCGCTCTGAATGAGCTGCAGCGCGGCGGCAGGTTACGCAATAGAGAATAAACGGAAACTCTTCAAAGTCTAAAAAGACAGCAAATACACCCCAAATTTTACCGCCAGAGCGGAACAGCGTCGGTAAAAGTATTATTCTGGTTGAGTAGCAACACTGTATATATAAAATTTAATAGTAAACGTTGGCTGACAAATCAGAGAAGAACACGTCATGACTGATGACACCATCATGGAGCCGAGCGTGAGCCTCTGGGTCAGCGTTTCTAAAGTCATCCGTTTTGTCCCGTCTTCACTAAAACGCCCTCCGGAGATTCAAAACGCAAAACGGATCTGCAGCGTTTCTAAACTTCTCCCTTTTAGGACTTTGTTTTTTCTGTTTTAGTCTGGACGGGAGGTGCAAACGTAGCAAAAAATCCCCATTTTTAAACGAAAATGCAGAAGTGTGGACGGGGCCTTAGTAATACAAACTCATTACCTTAAATACACTAATGATAATGAGTATGTGTAAGTGTGTGTTACAAACCGGCACTCCGTGACTCATGAGTATATTCGGGTTCATGATGGTGACCAGCTGGTGGAGCAGGTCTGGCTGACACTCGAAGAGCTCAGGTGTGAGTTTCTTCATCACCTCCTCTAACTTCTCAGCAGATGATGATGGCACACCATACCATGTTTTGGGCTCACCCCTAAAACAGAGAAGTTTACATTACACAAACGTGGTCACAAGATGTGCTTTCCCAACAAATTTTACTTTTAAAAGTAAAATCTTTGCAAATATACTAAGTGACAAACTGCAAAGGCTGACAAAAGCAAACAAATCAAAAATTGTGTAATTGTCAAATAGCAGTATTCAGTGTCACATGATCCTTTAGAAATTATTCTTATATGCTGGTTTGTTGCTCAAGAAACATTTATCATCATCAATGTCAAAAACAGTTGTGCTGCTGAAAATTTTTGCGGATATTTGTTTTCAGGATTCTTTGATGATTAGATAAGAACAGCATTTATTTGAAATGGAAATCTTTGGAAACATACATAGTACATAACATAAAGCCTCTTTGTGCATTACCAGTGCAAATAGTTGATAGAGTAGCTCCAGTGGTCCTCTATGTGCCAACAGAAAGCGGAGAAAACCATGCCCACATACAGCCATGGCACCTTCATGCCTGAGATATCTGCATTAATGTGGCACAATACTGACTGCTCCAACACTGGCATAACGTTCAGATTCCAGCCGCTGCGGGCATATTCCTGCAATAGGAACAGGATGGAGAGCTTAATTAGCTATTTTTGACCAAAACTTTGAAAAATGAAAAGGTGAAAACAAATTACAAACCTCTTCCTCATCTGTTAAGTGTCTCTTGCCGTTGTTAACGGGAAAACCACTACCAAATTCCTTTGAGTGAATATCTGCACCATATTCTACAGTAACGTCCTCTTCAATACTGCTAACCAACCTCCAAAACTCCTTTTCGACCAGCTCAGTGGGCACCATCTAAAAATCACACACACAGATAAGTAAAGGTAACTGTAAAAAAATATTGTTGGTTTAACTTAAAAAAGTAAGTAACCTGGTTGCCTCAAAATTTTAAGTTGATCGAACTGGAAAAAGTGAGTTAATACAATGAAGGAGATTCATTTAATCATCAGAAACTCAGAAACTCAAAATAATAAGTTCTCTCAACTAAATAAATTATTTAAGTTGATTTGACAAAAGAAAAAATGTTGTGATAACAAATCTTGAAAATATTTTTTTTACAGTGTGTGGTCTCAAGATTGAGTGAGGTGAGGGAAAAAACACTCACATGAACGGGCATGTTGAAGTAGTCGGCTTTAAAAGTGTCGGCCATCTCGCCGAAGCTCTGTAACGTGTACTCTCGCGTGGCCTGCTCGAAACCAAATGCTTCTGATGGCTTTTTACACTCCTACACAGAGAAAACACACATTTAACGTTGATTACTATACCAAGAACAATAAACAGCAAAAAGATAGTTTCAGTAGTATTTTTTTCTACTGAGATATCCAGTATAACACCAGAATAAAAGCAAGTTTTATTTCCATCTGGTCTCTCTCACCTCTGCTATACATTTGGGACAGCGCCAGTTGCCCTTGGGTGGGTCTGTGAGAGGAGGTATCAGGCAGAACGTGTGATAATTATCATCGCACCCATCACAGAGCAGCAACTTCTCGTCCTCGTCCCCGCGTCCGCACATCCGACACACAAACGAGTCCATCTGGCAGAGATTTCAGTTAGTGCATGCAAAATATCACATTCTTTAGTCTAAAGTTAGTAAAATCAAACGTGTCGGTTTATCTTGAAATTAAATCTAGGTCAGATTGGAAATTACCTAAATTATCACTACTGTTGGCGCCAAAAACAAATGCATGCATACTTGGCACACACTAGATACAGCACTTGCCTCGAGTACCTTATTGCTTTTATAAAACGTTTGCCACACAATATTTAAGTAAAAAACAATGTATAAGAGCAACTTTCTTGAAGTAAAATCACTAAAAGCCTTCCTTCCGCTAGAAAAAAATAGTCCCTGACCATGAACAGCAACAACGTTCCAATGTGTAAAATGCATGAAAGCTCAAATAAAAACAACATAGAACCGCAGTGTTGCGCAGCGATCAATAGAACCGTTGGGTGAAGCGGTCGTAGCCGTGTTTTATCGTGAATAAAAGCACAGCTCTTTACCAATCAGAATCAAGGACTCGAACTAACCGTTTTATAAAATGTAAATATAAACATTTGTACTTTCAGAAGATGTAAAACATATGTAAACATACACAATACAGGTTATTTATAAATCCCTGAAGAAATTAGTCAGATTCAAGCGTTTACATGGTTAATGTTTTCATCAGCTCTACTACACAACACCATCCAATCAGATCAAAATTTAAATAGGATCTAGGCTTTTCAGTCCGACTCCGCCATCAATCCAATCACCAACAGATTATAGTCACTGATTCATGTCTCAGAAGCACAAAAGTACTCTCAAACGTACAAACTGTGAGTTATTGAGGTTGCGTCGGAGTCTCATGGTCATCTTAGTGCAGGGTTCATCGCCGGGGTCATTCGAATCGCCAACGTGACTTTTGTCATCATCAACATCCTCCTTGATGATGAGATTTGGGGGTGGTGGAGGAATGTCTGGATCTGATTTCATGACCGGCGTCTCTGCTGGTTCATCCTTCACAGATGCAACACTGTCCCGCACTATTACCGTCTGCGGCAGTTCATCTAAAGAAAGGGTTTAATTACTGCATACGCACTTGTCATTTATAAAAACAGAAGCATATAGGAATAGCTCAACTGAAATGTAGTTCCTTAATATAAGTATGTGATGATCACTAAAATGTGTGTGCATCAAAACTGCAGACACAAACCTTTCTTTCGCGTCTTGTCTCGAGCTACAAGACCCAGCCCCATCATTTTAGGTCCAGCCCCATAGATCTGTAGTTTTTTCAGCTCAGGGTTCTTCTCTATGTCTTCTTCTGTAGGCTCAGGCTAAGGGGTGCAAGTGAAAGACTGTAAGTGAACTACAGTGACAGATGTGACGAAATATCTCAGAGGGTTTTCCTTAACCCTATATTTATCACTAAAAGCCACATATAGTTTGTTTAGGATAGCACGTGACTTCCAGTAAACACAGCTTTTTCCATGAGGGATCCTTGATTGTTCATGCTATCAAGCTATTAACGTTCCACTACTTTTCTCATTGTGGTAAATCATCAGAAAGATCGGCAAAATATTTTTCCTATTAAAATAACTGACTGAAAAACACAGATTTATCGATATAAAGCAAAAATGGTTGAGACACAGCACTGTATATGGATAAAGCAAAAGCAAACATGCATAAAGTTAGTTTTGTACCAGACTTGATTGCTATGAAGAGGGAAAAAAAAAACGATTCATTTAAACAATTAATACTGAATGGCATTTCTAAAGGGCTAAGTCTGTTATGAAATGACCAACTGCTGAAAGGGCTGGGCAATAAAACTGTCTTTATTCAGGTTTGCAATATATCTCCCTAAATTTAAAAAAAGAGAAATACTACAATATTTTGAAATACTTTCAGTCAAAGGAACACCAAATAGCCCACGTTGCCAAACACATTCAAAATGTTTAATATACAAATAAATTAAGTCAAAATCTACATAAATCAACAAAACATTTACCACACTGATTTTCCCTAAACAAAACAGCACTAACATAATAAACGGCAATATTCACATACATATAGAGCTAACAAACTAAACCCTAACCCTTAACTAAAAAAATGCTTAAAAGTTCTAAAACTCAGTAAAATTACAGAAAATATATCAAATATTTATATCACCACCCAGCCCTAACTGCTAAGTACGCAGAAGCACATGGAAAAAAAGCAGTGTTATGACCAGATTAACATCCGTCACGTCAATCACAGTGTTTCTTTTTGTTCCGTTCCTGAAACCGGTGTGATCTTAAAGCAAAAAACAACTCATTTTAAATTTGCTGCAAGATGAACAATATGAACCAGGCATTAAGAGAACAACAGGTTATTGCATATCATAGACTAGAAGTAATATGCAGCCAAAGAGGGGCAACCAGTCCACCACCAGAGGAAATGTAAGCAAGCCAGCATTGCTAAAAGTGTGGCAAGACAAGCGGAGTGAAATGTGAAAGATGACTGACTAACACCGAGGAAGATGGGATGGATGCACAAAGAGATAAGCAAAAGCAAGAGCTCAAAGAAAAAAACAAGAGTGAACGACAGCAAGAGGTCGAACAAGGGGTTTTTGAGCATGAGGAAACATTAGCAAAGGAGAAAGAAAGTGAGGGATAGGGAGGATAGGAAAGAACAGAGGGGGAGAGAGAGAGAGAGCAAGGCAGTACCGAGGAGATGTTCTGAGAGCCAGTTGTAAGAGGGTGGTGAGTTGGATCCTCTGGACCCTGCATGGGGAGACAACAACCAAAACAAAATGGATTCCAGAGAGACAGAAGGAAAAAACAACAACCATGTGCGACAGGAAAATCTGTGGATAACAACGTATTAAAAATTTGGGTTTCTTTTTTTTATGTCTGAGGTGATTTAAATTTCAGATTTCAGGCAAAATGTTAAGCAAAAATTCAAATCAGCCTGTGAAAATGTTCACATGACTGTTCAGCTGCAACATTTTACTTTGTTGTGTTTGCACATGACTGTTCAAAGGATAACAAAATTAACCATTTATTTAAAATAACCTGAAAAATATTACATGTATACCAGTGAAAAGTTTGGACACACCTACACATTCTTTATTATGACTATATTTGACACATTTTTAAATAACAGTAGAAAGTCCAAGAGTCTTCACGATGAAAATAGCACAAATATATGAAACAAATCAAAACTATAATGTATAGACCCCTTTTGCGCCGACGTCACAGTTACGTCACGGCGCTAGCTGGAGGCAAAACAAAGTGAAAACTGGAGGCGGCCAATGCAAACCAACACAGGAGCTTAAATTACTTTTATTAATATTAAATATCATCTTATTGTGTTGTTTGGTACAATTATCAATGAAAAACGAATATGCTGTATCTGGAACTTTTATTTCTAGAAAATATTCACATCATTAAAGTCCCTGTGAACCGGAAGTTGCAAACGATTTTTCTCCAGTGCTGTGACGTATTTCCAAGTGAAACGGAATATTGAACAGAGGGCAGGGTTTTACTCTAGCGCTCCTCCTCTCCATCTCTCGCTCATAGCAAACTAACGGTTTGAGGGGAGTGGTTAAGCGTTTCCCCACCCAAGTTGTGAAACCTACGTCATCAGAAAAAGAAACCGTTCCAGACCGGAAGTAAAATTTCAGATTTTGATTAAAGATTACCAAGGTAAAACATTTTTTTAATATATTTTTACTTGCACGGATTAACTGTTCACCACAAGACTAGTAATATGCGCTAACAAAGTAAATAGGTTCAATTTTGATTTCACGGGGACTTTAAAATCGCACCGTAATGTCACTCTTTACATTGCCGGCGTCTCGGCGCTGGCTCGGCAGAACTGCGAATCGTACACACAAGTCTTGTACAGGACCATATAGGCATCTAAAGATTTATATGTCCTCAGTTTCTCTTTACGATCGGTTTCTCTATAAGGTCGGTGTAGAAGTCAGTCCACTCAACCAAGGTAACTTAACGTTAATCCTATCCATGCATTGAGTGAGTGTGTGACGGCTACGGGTCGGCCAATCTGGTTCGGTCCGTTAAAAATAACTTTTGAAAATAACAATCGCGGCCCTGGACAATGAGTGACCTTACACATTAAGATAAAATCTGATTTTCTTCAGTCATTGTTAAAAAAACAAGCTAATAAACCTTGCTAACTAGTGTTAGTGAAGCGGCCAGAGGGATCTTTCTGCCTCCACCTAAGCTCCGCCCACATAAAAACGTCACCATGTTTACCAACTGAAAAGGGGTCTATTTGGGCTTCTTTGACAGCCCTGCACACTATGGACATTCTCTCACCTAACTTTATGAGGTGTGTCCTGGGATGATTTTATATTCATTTAAAAAGTACCTATGTTGCACTATGCAGGGTCCCAAATCCCTGTTATAAAATAATAAATAAGTTACATTTTTAAATACTATGTACACACAACTTTTATTTGTCAACAAAGCTCATTTGAAACATTCTAGCAAAAGATTCACGTCAAAAGTTAAGATCTTGATAAGAATCAAGTGTGTCCAACTTTTTCCTGGTAGAGTGTTTTAGTTCTTTTTCATGTTTGAACTAGGACGTAAACCAACAGAACAACTGGTTTAGACAAAATATTAAGAGGGGAGCGGACATTCAAGGAACGGGGGGTAGTCTAATGAAACAATTACAATTGTTTAGTGAATCAGAAATTAGTGAGGGAACCACAAAAGGTTTTCGCTCAACTCTAAACCTATGAAGATGTCTGCAGCTGATACTACGGATAAGTGTATTATCGCTAATGCTATGAATCCATTGACCAAGCTAATGTAATGGGCAGGCAAATTAAAAAGCCAAACACCCGCAAAATAAATGCTGGGAAAATGCTGCATCAATGGAAATTATAGGGATGAGAATTGCATTAATATGTAATGAAAATGTATGGTTATTATGGCCAATGGTTTTAAAGAGACAAAGCGTAATGACAAATGAAAAGTAGAAAGTGATAAAAAGAAGAGAGAGAGAGAGTGATGAGGGCAAGATGGACACAATGCTTTTTTTAAAGCACAGGAAGCAAAGCATGCTGGGAAGTGCCTTGGTCAGTGCTGATCCAAAAGCGCTCATTCATCTCATAAAAACAGACAAAGCACATTTGGATGGATCCATTAAGCCCTGGACAGTTATACATTCATTAAGAGGAAAAGATTAAAGTCATCAGTATTCAAGTTAAGATTACTAAAAATAAAGATTACACTAGTAACTCGATTTGTATTGACTATTTATTAAAAGAGCATCCTGCAAACGTTTATTTGGAAACTAAGGTTACACATAAATGATGCTTGTTTTTAAAATCACTGCACTGGCTTTTTTCAAATTCAATTTATCATCAAATACTATGTGCCAAAATTATCTAATGAAGAGATAATTTTATATAACAAGAAAATTACATAACATAAACAACAGTTCAGTTTGAAAGTTAACGTACGCCATCCAGAAACATCACTCACCTCAGGCTGAAGACGATTGGCTCGTCGCCCATAGCTGTTCATCTTGGATGGCGGGACTGATTGGCGTAGAGGAATGGAGTGTGGTTTGTATTCCCGGTCAATCTCATCACTGTCAAACGGCTTGGGTTTGCATGGCTGGATATGACGAACACATACGTGTCAACCTTGCACTCATAATAAGGGCTGTATGTCTTTAATGTATACATTCAATATTCTGCTTAAAGGCCCGTTCACACCAAGAACAAGAACTATAAATATATCCTACTTTTTGGGGGATGTTGTGGCTTAATGGTTTGAGAGTCAGACTGGTAACCCAAAGGTTGAGGCTTAATACCGCCAGGAAATGACTGAGGTACCCTTGAGCAAGAGTTACTGGGTTGTTATTGGGTTACAATACTTGGCCTTAACATGTCACTATAACAATAACTTTATTAGCGGCCATCCACACCAGCGAATGACATAGTTGTTTATTCCAAGTGCGCAGCAGTTTTGTAGTCTGCCGCATTAAATGCTTATGGCGAGCTCTTTAAAGTAGAAAGGATTCTGATTGGAAAAAGAATTGTTCAGCAAGTGATTCCAACGATACCGTTTCTCTGTGACGTAAACGTTATAGTTGTGGTGTAGACTCCTCAATTCCTTTATAACGTAGAAAGATCTACATCCTTACCTGTATTTCTATAGGCATCATCCTTGTTGTGAACGGGCCTTAAGGATTTATATTTTGTAAAAGACATTTACCTGCACCACAGAATATTCATGTGCACTTATTACAGGTAAGCATTTTCAAATAAACTTGCACATGCACAATTTTTCCTGTGATTCTCTTACGTACGTAATTTTTCACAGTAGACAAATAACAAAATGTAAGTTCAAACTTTTCTTTTCTTTTAATGACTGTAAAAATAAAATTATCGATAGCTTTATTTTTCACAACTGCCCTCAGCAAACAGAATTACCTTTGTTTGAACTTGTGCAGAAATAAATGAATGTTTAGTTACAGTAAGCGTTTCAAATGAGGCCTTTATCCAACAATTAGCCTTTCACCGAGCCCCGCCCCCCTTAGTTACTGCTGCTACCTCCGTCAAACAAATGGTCAAACACGGGCAGCGCGACAGATTGCCATGACGGCAAAGGGTATTCCCGTGCGTGTCAGTGACCTTTTTTGGAGCAATACCTCCGCGATATCAAGCAAGATCGAAGCAAAAGGGGTTACGGTATGCGGTGGAGGGATTTATTCCAAATATAAAATTAAGAAATGAATGAGACACGACTACTATTGATGCTAATGCTTACCAGTCTCAAGAAAAATCAGAAAAACCCCATGACCATGCTAAGTTACCTCAAATGCAACCAGCACAGCCTTGAAGATTTTATAAACTGGTTCAGTGGCTAATTGTTTGGAGTTCGAAATATATAACTTGCGCTGCATATTTATTCATTTTGCCTCCGATACAGGAGTAGCACGTTCGCTTTAACAAGCAGGTTGTTCATTACCACAGCAACCGATTGCGTGTCATGCTCATGCTGAATGCGATTTTCGTGTTTAAAAAGTAACTAACGTTATGCATAAGAGACGGAAAGAGGCAGAGAACCATACGTTATTTAAGGTTATTTCTATTCGTTACGATATTGATATATGAACTGATGTTGTCATGTAAGCTTCATGCTTTCCCCGTTGCGAACGTCCTCTAAACTGTAGTCTACGGTGCTGCACTGCTAACTTAGCTGACTGCTGCTCATTTTCCCAGAGAATATCATGGTATGTTAACAACAACCCTTTAGAAAATGTACAGTAAGTCCTTTGTGGATCCTCTTGATCTGCTTTCTCCGTGCTTCTTTGACTAATCTCAGTCGCACGCACGCTGCACGCGAGACGAGTTAACCATGTTCGACACATTTAACTGGAATTGGGGCGTCCACACTGTTTAATACATCTTAGGCACCGCTCGCGTTGTGTTTTGGGCTTTGGAAAGGGAAAAAACACAACTTCTCCAGACAATCTCTCGGGGTATCATGTGTCCGATTTACTAACGCCGTGGGCGCACCGCTCACTGTTTGACGGAACAGCTCACACAGTAACGGTTGCTATGATGTGTGATTGGACAATGGCCATTTTGTGGGAGGGGCCGGCGAAAGGTCAATTCACGTTCACACTTTCACCGATTTGACCAATTACATTTATAGCCTAATGCAAATAATAATAATAATAGCTATATGATTATCATTAATAATCAATAATAATCATTTTTTTCCTCACCAAATGTGACCAAAATGGTTATAAAAATGCTGTCATTATAAAACATGGTTCCCACACCTTGGGTAGCTTCAAATTCAAGGAACTTTCAAGGACTTTCCAGGTCCAACACTCTCAAATTCAAGAACCTAATGTGGGACACATGTGATGTCCAATAAACGTTGGGATACCATCGTAGTAGTTTTGTGCGCGCGTGAACGTCATGGCAACGTACAACACAAACCATAGATATCATATAGACACTAAATGCACTAATTGGCTGCTGGGCACTGAGAAACGCGGCCGCCACCTTAAACCGGACGTATTCCTATTGTGTTGCATAGCAGCAGTAGATGAGTTGATGAATTGCTCAAATCGGCGGACTATCGCTCGGGAATTACTTTTGAAAAGTAAGTAATATTACCTGACTAAAGTTTGTATTTTGTGAATTAAATATCCCATGTGTCCTGTATCATAGCTACATCCATGACCTTTGCAGCAAAAAAAACCACGTGAAAATCAGTTTGGTATTCAGTGAGATATGAGCTGTCAGCACATTTAATAAATCATATCACCTGCCAAACAGATTAGACTGAGCAGAGCGGATGACCGGTTAAGATGGCGGCCCCACGGCTCGTCCGTGCCAATAGGCTGTAGCAGTCGATAGGTAATCTACCTATATGTTGTCTATGACAAAAAACCTCGCACAGGAAACACAACGCATAAATGTGCGTAACTAACATAAATGAAGAAAGCTAGTATGCATAGGCCACGAAGTGTTGGCGAAATAGCACATTAGCGAACCGGAGGGAATAATATGATTTTTTTTTTCCAGAAAATGTTTTGCACAAAAAAAATTCAAGCACTTTCAAGGCCACTATATACGTTTATTTTCAAAAACTTTCCAGGGCCTTGATTTTTTTTTTTTTTTTTTTTTAGATTCACAAACTTTCAAGGACCCATGGGAACCCTGTAAAAGGTTTTGCCCTGTAAATATATTGCTTGTTTTTTCTGTTTATTACATTTCATGTTGTGACGCTTCTATTCTCCCTGCAACGTCAGAGCATTCAAAGTGTCAACAAGCTTCCCCTTACTTTTTGACAAGCGTGCTTGACAGAGCGGACAGAGATTATTTGACGCTCAATTCGGCGGCGGCGTGAATGTACAGTAACGCTCACATTATCAAATTCTGAATATTACAATATCTGTGTGCATGTAAACACTTTCAGAGAAACATTATTGTACTGTACATCTTACATAATGCAAAATGTGCACATTTTTTCATAAAACAGCCAAAAAAAAAAAAAAAGGTCAAACGCTGTACCGGTAAACTGGCTCCGGACTGGAACATCTCAAATGGATAGACGATCCTCTCATAGTGGGACCTCAGGAGAGAGCCAATGTTTTTGCCAGGAGGATAACCAAGTTTTTGTGCCACGCGTGCCCAGCGTCTCTCCTTACTTACTGCCTCAAAACCTCCTTCCTCTGTCACAATCTACCACACAAGACATACAGCATACAAGTTACGGACATAGATCAATGCCAACCTTCATGTCCTTCCAGTTAATGCTGTTTTAAAGACCAATGATATACTTAGGCCCATCTTGTTTGCCTATTATCAATTAAATTACATTAACTCTATCAATTCCATGAAGGACTGCAGTATTGACCTTGGACAAGCTGTACAGATCTAGAATACGACGTTCTATGTTGGGAATCTTCAGGGAGGATCCCTGTATCTCCCAGAACTTGGCAATTCTGTCCAGATAATTGAGCTTCACTCTTGTCTCAGCCTGAGAAAAAAAAAAAAAAAAAACAGATGTGTTTCACTGCTTAGTCAACATAAGACCATGTGGGTCATGCTTCATGGAGTAAGACAGGTGGGTGATGAGATCAACAGGATGCAGCTCTGACCTCAAGCTCATTGAGCCTCTGAATACGTGGAGTGAAATGGAAACTGTCCACCTCCACGGCAAACGGTGGCTGCCAGTCCTGAAATACAAAGAAAAGTCAGTTTACATGTGAATATTTGAATACCGGCATGACCATAAAGTGATTGTTCACCCAAAAAAGCACATTTTACAGCACACAAAATATGATTTTTTTGAAGAATGATGGCACCCAAACAGTTTTATTGACCGTTGACTTCCATTCTACAGGCAAAAAAACTTGTTTTAGTTAAAATATCTTGTTAGAATACAGCTCTTGCAGGTTTGGAACAACATATCTTCAACAGAATTTACGTTTTGTGGGTGAAATATCTCTTTAAGCATGTAGAAAAATAACCAGTAGAAGAAAAACGAAAAAGCATGAGATGATTACGGGAGGTGGGCGAATCTTGCATATTCCAGACTTTTCTGCTATTGGGCGGATTTTGGCAATATATCCCAGTGGATCTGCAAACTCCTCCCATGACGGTTCAAACACTGGACATTCCGGCGGCGGAATAAACTCCTCCCCTCCATCCATCGCTCTGAATACAAACAATTCAAGTTAAAAGGATATATACAAAATTCACTAAAATCAAACATTATATCTTCTAAATCAATCGCATTGGCCTTCAAACAATCATATACATCATCCTTGCTGTTACACTGAAGTAAAATTGTTTTTATTCACTGTGATAAACGTTTCAGCAGTTTATGCCAATTCATGTTTTTAAACAGCACAATTATCCATGAAAACTTTTAACACGCATAATTGAAGGTTCAGAGTTCACCATATTGACACCATTGCTAGATCCATATATACGACCAGCTCAAAAGCAAATTTATCCAAATAAAATTGAAGTACATAAACTTGGCGAAACAGGTTTTGCATCTATTAAACTAAAGTGGGTGATGATGCATCCACTGAAGTAATCAGGAAGTAGACAAAGGAAAAAGTCATTCCACAAGTACACTGGTCGAAGGAACTGGAGAACAGAAACTAGGCCTAATTTCTAAGAAACACGCATGGAAATGCACCTTATATTATTTCTATTCTAATGAAACATCATATAATTTCTAAATTCAGAAATCCCCTGGTTTTGACCTTGTCTTCTAATCTCATACCAGACAAAATGGGGGAGGGAGTGAAACATTGTTCATTTAGGCCTTGCCAGGAAAACACAAATAGCCTGCATATATCACCAAAACTGTGCCTTATAAAACAGGAAAATGCCTTATATGACACAGGCCTATCATTTACTACTACTTACAAAACCTTATTTATACTGGTATATTTCCATGTTATGAAAACGACAACAAAAAAGGATCACGTGACTAATGGTTCACACTTCATTTCCTAAGCTAAAAACGATTACATTAACTTCTCGTTTTAACGGGTTAATCTTGATAAATGAATAGCATGAATACATGTAATAAAAAGAACAGGGTCTCCACCTGTCTTGCTCAAATTATGACCCACACAAATTACATAAAGTTTAGCCATTTAAATCATAAATAGATGTATTCAATGGCGTGACAGACGCCTAACGTTGGTTATAAATAAAATAATGGTGGCAGTGGCTGTCTCTCAAAACATAGTTAGCTGCTTACCTAAACAAAAACATTAGAATTAGACAAAAACACATTAAAATGGCAAATACAACGGTCAAAACTGCTTTCTATGATACACAGCACACCAGTGTTTGAAAGAGTCATAATCCCAAATTTCCTGTAGCTTTAGCCTGCTAACCGGCCTAAACTCGCGTGAGATTCGAGCAAAGCTTTTAAATTCGCTGATAATAGTAAGAAGACTATAAGAATGTGGTGAATGAACACTTTTTAGACGTATCTGTGAAAATTATGTGTACTTGGGATTTGCTTAGAAAGCAGTTTTGTAGAAGTAGCTAGTTAGCTGTGCGGCTAATGATCAAAACAATAAAGCCTCACCATCCGTGTGTCAGTAAATTAGACCCACGATAAATCCAACAAACGATTCAATTGACGTTAAAGGTAAAACGAACCTCTAAACATCCAAAAGCATGACGACTTAAACAGATTATAAATCCAGTAGCACGTTACGAGGGCCAAACATTAGGACTCAACCCCAAGGAAAGGCTGAGTTGTGGAAACGCACACCAGGTGATGATACTTTAACTTGTCTTGGGTCGCGGGTATAATGATGTGTGACATTTAAATGTACCATTTGATCGTTTACACCATGTAAAACATAAACACTTGCGCTAAATCGATATAAATTTAGCCATCAGTGCAGGTTGAATCTGAACAACACAGTCTTACATTTTTTTTTGCACTTGGTCTGAGTTCTTCTTATTCTTCGGTGTCGCCTGAGCCGGTGTATTTATTATTTGTGTCTTTCTGGGTCTTGTATGATGATGATCACGGGGTCTATTGTTCGGCAGAGGGTCAGTCTCTGGGTGGCAGTGGCTCTGCGGCCTCCTCGATCAGCCCATCCCAGCACACACACTCTCATACACTCACATACACACACTCTCGTCCGGTTAAGAGGGTTGATGATCGCGGAGATCTTCTTTTCTACTGACTCCAGAACGTCCCCCGTAAGTTGACGTTTTCTTTATAATAACCACTTCGAACGCGTGCGCAAAATACACGTTTCCAATGTTTTCTATTCTCGGCACTTATCCACAGTTCATCCTGTCTGAACTACACGCCATCTTGGTTTCATCACGACCTAAGCACGACTCTCTCAAGATCCATTGATCTCAGTTGGGAAAACACGCACTTGACTGGATGCGAGCACGGTCTCATCCCTCCACGCTTCTAGTTACATGTAAACTAGTCCCCTGGACTCGTCCGATTTCATGCAGAAGCACGTAAATTATCGTCCTGGGTGCAATAGCAAATGCCTGCTGGTTTCAGACGTACTTTAAAGGTGGACTATATATTTTATAATATCGAATTGCGAATAGTTGTGTGTGTTGCACAAGTGATGCAGGTAGACAAGCCTACGTGACGCGGAGTGATATTTCACCTCTTTCTTGGAGAAGTAGTTCCAGTGAGTAAAATTTGCGCAGAAGAGGTCAAGCGACGTATGCGAAAAACAAATTGGGTAGCGACAACTAGTGGCAAAACATCGAAATAACCGCAAATAAATTATGTCATCATTTACTCATTTTAGTTTGTGGGTTGGGTTGAATTTTCTTGATTTCTCATAATAGATAATGCCATAGCTATAAGTTTTAGTACATAATCCAAATAATTTTTATTACCCAAACTACACAGGCTATTTTTTTCTCCTAAATTTTATTTGTCTCCCGTAATGTATAATGTCTGCTGTATACTGTAATAATAACAGTGACAATAATGATTATAATTATATTAATAAAAATGTACTATTAATTAGGTTACAAATGTAGCCTACTATTAATTAATCACAATATGAATATTAATTGTTTTTTTTTTTACTGTTTTGATAAATATTTATGTAAGATAGGCTATTTATGTAAGATCAGGTCTGTAGAACAATATTTGCCCATCTAAAACTTAAATGTATCAATCAAATTATAGAACTGTGGAAATATAATTTTAACAACAATTAAATATGTTCAGTAGAATTGCTTTATTCGACATACATTACATCGTTTTCATTACACAGTGATTTGAGGGAGCAATAATTCTAGTTCAAAAGCTCAAACTAAAAAAAAACTTGACAAGTGTTTTATTATATTTTCCTGGAATTTTAATGGTGAATCAGATTAAATATGTAAATTAATTCTTAAAGAGATAGTTCACCCAAAAAATGTGTTGCCCTCATGTTGTTGCATTCTCAGTCTCCATTTGCTTTCGTTTTATAGGAAAAAAGGCAATGAAAGTGAATGGTGACTGAGGCTGTCAGTTCCTATTGTGTTTAACAATCAATTCAATCAATTCCTCGACCAACATTATTTACATTTTTGGGTGAGTTATTCCTTTCAAAGATTATGCGGTTCAAAACATATGGGGAAAAAGACACACAACAACAACAACAACAAGTTGTGTCAGGACACTTTATATATATTTTATTCATATAATATTAGGCAATAAATATTCACATCTCTCCGAATTTGCTTAATTTCATATATTATCTGTATATACACAAATAAGATGACTTCATATACCTTTTTTCAAAATTACACTTCAATCTGCTTTGACATACACACTTGTACAAGTTTACAGATAAAATTAATTTTCTTGGATCAAAATAAATATGCAATGATCATCTACATTTAATGACATCTCCCTACACACACACACACACACACACACACACGCACACACACAGACATACCTTTGACACTTTCCCTGTCTCATTTTAAATATTAAATCATAGTCTATTTACAGTTTGTTACAGAGCTCAGTAAATACAGACGTACTCGTGCAAGAAAATTCACAGAGAAAGACAGACAGTTAATGAAAAATATCATGAAAATCTTGAAATAAAGTAAATGCAATTAATAAGGAATTTCTAATCTTTATCTCATATGGATATCCGGCCATGGAATATATGTAAATGGAGCCCCATTTTCCACCATACTGTCCTATTATTTAGTACTGTGCAGTGCTGATAGCTAAATAGCATATGCAGGAGCACATAGAAAGAGATGGCGATTTTTAAGGGCATAAATATCTTACACACAATAACTGAGCATCACATCAAGACAAATAATACTGAGCATCTGCATTAAGCCCAGTCCACAAATATAAAACAGCACTTGAGATCACGTTATGCATCCACACAAACAGAAACTTCAAGCAATACTTACACTAAGGCCTTACTTAAGGATAAATTACCTTGATTTCTCGTACAGGTAAACTGAAATCCTTGTATTAATGTGATCATTTATTTATACAGGTTCCTCCATCTTCCTCCTCTCCTTCATTAATCATACAGAGGAAGGTTACTGAAGTATGACTGAAGTATGGTGCTATATTGTCAAAATAGGTCGTTTTTAAGCCCAAACCAAAAATCATCTGCACAAAACATCATGACCGGTACACAACTCTTTAAAAAAATGTTTTAAATAATACCCATACGAAGTCTCTGACATTCAAGGTCACTTGTAAAGACAAGTGTGTTTGTCCATAAAAATCATCAACAACAATAAATCCCTGACACTTCACTGTTGAATGTCAAAGCATGAGAAAACATTTCCTATTTACAAGTTGTTGTTTTTTTGTATTTTGTCAAATTTAGTTTCATAACATAAAATAAGAATAGTTATATTCATTAAAATTGAAATTCATAGCAAACATTCATATAATAGCATGAAACTAAAACACCTTGGTAAAGAGGTTGGCAGTATTGATGAGGACCCAATGGAAACTAAATGCAGACAATTCAGATGTGAAGACTGGCAACAATCTTTCATGGCATGTTTCCTTCATACGTCACTAGCCCTCGTAAAAATACTTAACGTGGGAAAAGTGTAATATATATATATTTTTTTTAATGGATTATGGAGATATATTAATTTAATATGGTTCAGAAAACACATTCATTTATAAAGTGCATTGGATGCCTTTTATTTTCACATTCTGGGCCTTGGCAAATTCACTGGAACTTTACTAGAAATGTGCTGCTAAGAATTTAGACATGGATGATAATGCACACAAATTGGCTCAGTGATTTTTACTGTAATGTGAGTCAACATCCAGTTTGAAATTCATTCAAGCCCTTTGGGATTCTTCAAAAATAAAATTACTGTCAAATTGGATTAATATAAAGTAATGCTGTCATGAGAACATTTTTAGATTTGAGGCACAATACTTTGGATTTAAAATAAAAAAATAAAATTATAAAAAATAATTTACCAAAACAAGCTCATTACAGATCAGATTATGAAATTTGCGTATTGTTTTCTCATTTGTGTATAAATTTATATTTATTTTTCTAAAACAAATTAAGTTTGTAGATCAAATAAATGTCACTGATTTATTATCTGACTGATTCAACATTACTGAAATATTATATTGTGTTAACATTTCATATAATTTTACACATGGTAATAATACTGAAAGTGATTCTAGGATGATTACAAACAGCACATCCACATACAAGGCGTTTTACAGCTGACTAGAGTTAAGAGTGGAAGAGGTCAGGCCAATACTTGCTTTAAACAACCATACCAGGTGTAAGATATTTGCTTTGTGGATTTATCTCTATTAACACTTACATATGTCAATGTTATAGATGTATACAAAAAGAGCAATAGAGCATTTTAAATTATTTAGCAAGTAGAAGCTGGACATCAATTAAGTGAAAAGATTATTGCATCTTGCGAATGCTATAGCGACTAATGCTTAACATGATTACTGGAATGTATGAAATCGTTGAACATACTGTGCTTTGATCTGTCCAGCACAATGTCATTTGTATGCTCTCTGGTCTTCACATTTCCTAAACAGGTTCCCAGGTCAAACAAGGTAGAGTTTCTCCAAATGCCTGCGATGATGAATGCAGAATGCAACCATTTTACCCTAACTTTATGGCTCTACGCAACTAAAAACAAGACTGTGGACAATTTTATGTTCGAGTTTGTCCGCGTGTCTTTTACATGCTTTAGTAGGTTATTTCTCGTCTGAATATGGAATCTAAGAAGAAGCCAAGAAGTCAGCTGGCAGTCAAACCCATCTACATCAGCTGAACTGAAAAAAAGTGTCCTAATTGTTTCTCTTTATTGTTGTCTAGTATATTTCCCACAGCACTAATCTACCCAAGAGCCGTCAACTATCTGTGTGGCAGCGTTGCCTCGGCAAGTCCCTTCGATCACACTTGTGGGAAGCGCAGGTGAAAGTAGCAGAGTCTTAGCAGGCTGCGTTTCTTTTTCCCACTGGCATTATTATCAGATTTGGCCCTGCCGCTGCCCGCCTCCTCCACCCTCGCAGAGGTCCCCCCTCCGATTACCAAAGGACCCTTCAGCGTCCCCCAGCCTCGCGACCTCCCCCGGCTCACACTACCGTGCTGATCCGGTTGGTAGGTTTGGATTTGGTGCGTTCGACTGTGCCCGTCCCCCCAGGTGCGGCCCCACTCTGGGCCGGCGAGGGCCCTTGCTGACCCCCGGCTTGGGAAGGTGGGCCTTGGTGCTGGGGGGGGAGAGGGGAGAGAGGCGTAAGAGGGATAAGGGGGGAGGAAGGGGGGGGTAAAGGGGAGTGGGGGGGGGGAGGGGGAATAGAGCCCAACGGAGGATACTGGGGCAGATACTGGGCGGCCGGCGGCCCGTGGTGGACAGTGCCGGACGCGGAGACTGGAGGCGGCTGAGTTGGAGCTGGGAAGGGCGGGGGCGGAGGGCTGGCGAATACGAAGTGAGGTTGGTGCACGGGGTGGGAGCCCGGGTGCGGCGTGTGTACGTGCACGGGGTGGGTGTGGGAGTGTGCGTGCGGGTGCGGCTGAGAGTGCGACAGGGTGAGAGGGGGCTTGCTGATGCCGCCTCTGGCCGAGTGTGTGGGCTGCGTGTGGAACAGAGCAAACTGCGGATGAGGGGAGAGTGGGGAGTGAGGAGAAAGGGGGGGAGGGTGGCCGGAGCCCATGTTGCCCATGCTCCCGTAGCGACCCTGCAAAGTATGCTGGGAGATCGGCTGGTACGGGGATTGCGCGGAGGGGTTGGGGAGTGGCCGTCGAGGCAAGGTGACCCGCTGAAGAGTATGGAGGGGCGGCGGCCCAGACGTAGGTGCGGTCTGTGTATGGAAGCGGTGGTGGTGGTAGTACGGGGGTGGAGGCTGTCCACTGACATTGTTGCTGGTAGTATGGCAGTACTGGGCGTGCAGGGCCTGGATCTTGGAAGGACCCCCGCCCTCCCCCGGGCAAAGTGAGGACGGGGACAGAGGCGGCGGCCCTCCTGTAGTCGGCGGGGCCACAGGGGCGGGGTAAGGTGGCCCCGGGGGGATTATAGGACCTGGCGCTTTGGATCGTTTGCCCCCAAAAAGGGAGCCTAGGAAGGAACCGGTGTTGTTGCTGTTGCTCCCAGTCCCCATTCCAGTCGTTCCTCTCTCGGTGCTGCTGGAGACTGGCCCAGCGCCAGTCACCGCAGGTGTGTGTTGCTGCCCCGGCCCACCCCCCACCCCCACTCCGGGGCTCAGGATGGGGCGGTGAGGCCGGTAATCTTCTGCTCCATAGCATCCCGGGAGAACAGTGGCTACTGGATAACGCTGGTGAGGCCGTGGACTGCTAATGATGGAACCCTAAGACAAAGAGAGTGGGGGGAAAGGAGGAAAAAAGAGGACGGCAACGCCAAAAACAAGTGTTTGAGAGAGAAGAGAGGGTGTGCAAAGCGGAGCAGGAATGTGGGCAATAAACAAGAGAGAGAAAGAAAATATAGCAAAAGGATACAGAGAGAAAGGTGGTTTCGATGGGGAGGAAAAACAGAGGGTGAGTTGATTAGGGTAGTGAAACAAAATTCTGTCCGCATCATAATTCAGAACATTATTACACAAACACATGCGCCCAACTTTCTATTATGCGTCCCGAATGCTAATAATGCCAATTTTGCTATTGGTAACTTGGAATGTTATTCCTGTTTTGTGTAATGGTCAAAACCTACGCTATCTCACGACCAATTCGTACGAATTCGTACGAGTGATTCAAAAGTGGCTAATTCGTACTAATTCATACGACCTCACTCGTACGAATTTGTACGATTTGTCTAAACCCACGTGATGGTTATGTTTAGGGGCGGGGTCAGGGGTAGGTCATTCGTACGAATTCATACGAATTGGCTAATTCGTACATTGTGTACGATTTAGCAAAATCGTACTAATTCGTACGAGTGAGGTCGTACGAATTGTTACGAATTAGCCACCTCGTAAAATTCGTATGAATTCCCGTGAGATCGGGTTGGTCAAAACCTATGCTTCCAAATAATTACTCATCTGTTTAGTCGCCATAAAATTGAATATGAAACAACATTTGTAAACCATTCTACTTCTGTAATCAGAAACAGAGTATTCAAATGAGATTAAAATGAAGCCGGGACCTGATTGGTGGACATGTAATCAAAGTCAACGTCCTTTGTCTTATTTAAAAGACTTCAGAAAGTTGAAACGGTAATTCGTTTAATGTGGGCTCGAATCAATTCCCTTGAAAAATTAAGAGATGGTCCTCACTGCAGAACATGAAATCCACGGGGAGGAGTCGGATCCAGATCCAACTCCACCCACCTTACATATACCTAAACCTACCCAGCTCCACCCCCTGATCCCTAAACCCACCCCTAAACCTACCCAACTCCAACCCTCAGATCTGGATCCGACTCCGCCCCCTGGATCCGGTGTACTGCAATGAGGTGCTACTGAAAATTAAAGGACAACTCCAGCGCAAAATGAACCTTTGGTCACATTGGTATAGTCGACCGTACTCTGAGATTTGTTTTCATGATAATCGAATGTAAAGAGTTTTATCTCTAAAACTCTTTAGCGTATAATAGTATATGGGGGCATATAATAAGTAAAAAGAAATCGCTAGTTAATACCACTAACAAGGCTCAAAATAGCCCCACACTAACACAGTAATAAAATAAGGGTCCCTACATGCAAAACGAAGTATTGTGAACGTTGTAAGTGTATAGACAGTTTAATAAGAAGATATTTTATAAAGACAGTGTACTTTGTGTATACAGGCAGCAGCCATCTTTGTAAAACAGTCTCGACAAGTCGAACCACGAACGCCGTTCATACAGTTCAGAAGTTCGCTGAACTTCATACAGTTCATCTCACTTGACATGTCGTTCGTGGTTCGGTTACGTTACTGTGTTAGAGTGTGGGGCTAATTTGAGCCTTGTTAGTGGTATTAACTAGCGATTTCTTTTTACTTATTAAATGCCCCCATATACTAGCCATACGCTAAACAGTAGAGATAAAACTCTTTACATTCGATTATCATGAAAACAAATCTCAGAAAACGGTCAACTAGGTACCAATGTGTAATTAGACCAAAGGTTCATTTTGCGCTGAAGTTCTCCTTTAAGAAATCAAAAAATCAATTATGAAGTGGATAAATAGTTGGAAAAGCTGTTCAGCAATTGATTATCAATTTAGGATAGGCTATATACGTATAGGTTAAAATTTGATAATCAAAAATAAATTATCAATACATTTTGCCTATTGCTTTTTTAATATCTTTTGCCTATTATCGATTTTACACTGAACCAGGAAGTGGCATACAATCGGCTGTCATTCATTGCTGGCCCCGCTATTACAGAAGCAGTCAGTGATCAATGCTGTTTGATTTGTGAATCAGCATTTTAGGATTGCCCCAAAACACACTAATAAATCATGTATAATGAGACTATGTGTACTTAACGAGTAAAAAAGGGTACATTTTATTACATATTTGACTTGATTTGTGAGGGACACTTAATAAAATGCAGGACTTAGTACAAAAATTAAGAGATACATAAAAAAACATCATACAACCACTAGTCCATGCATAACATTTCAAATACCAAACCACATTACAAAAGCACAATGCAACCATACAATAATGAACCATAAATAACTAAATGTATGTATTTCTATAGAATATCAATGTCATGCAGAATTAATTCCGGGTCAATAAGATGTCTTCTAGTCCAGATGTCTCATAGTAAACTCTATAAGATATTCAAACATGTCCCGAATGACTGCAAATCTTCACAGGTGTCTGAATAACTGGTGGTATTGATTCATCGCCTCAGTCACGTGTACATTAACATTCCACGGACCACATACGGTCACACAAGATGCACACGCATGGCTCTGTGTCTATGGTAAGGACACATGCAGAATGACGCCATGTTTTGTGGGGATTCCAGGCAGGCATGCGGGTGGTTGGGGTTTGGGGACTAAAGCTAAAGATACAGACCTCTGCTTCACTCAGACTTACTTCCATTGTACTGTCAAGGGAACCAACGCTGTTTCTGCGGCCACGTTTCCCTGTTACCCAGTTAGCAGATGTCAGTCACAACTGCAGTGTGTGTGTGCGTGTATATGTGTGAGAGAGTGAGTGTAATACAATGACAGTCAGTGTTAACTAGAGTTGTCAGACCAAAAACTTCGGTCAGACTTCGGTACCAAGTCGGTACTGAAATTTTTAAATTGTGACACTTTGAGCGTCAAGGCAATCAGAGGTGTTTACGATTTCACTCAACAGTGCTCAAAGCGTCACACACAACTGTGTTAACATAATTTTAACTTTTTTTGTTGGAGTCAACAAAATTTTGGATTATTCTTGAAGAATAGATCACCCCAAAACGACAATTTAGCCTAAATAAGCCCTATAATAAAGACATAAGGACAAATAAAAAGAATCATACAAAAAAAAAATATCCAGTATTTTTAAAAATTGTTTTGACAAAAAACTTTGCATATGTACAGTATGTACATTTAAAGGGATATTCCACTCAAAAATAAATATTCTATCATCATTCACTCACCCACATATCATTCCAAACACATATACATTTCTTTCCTCCTCCGAACACAAAAGAAGATATTTTGAAGAATGTTGATAACCAAACAGTTGCGGGTCCTATTGACTTCAATTGTATTTTTTGTTCATACATTGGAAGTGAAGGGTAACCGATACTGTTTAGTTACCAACAATCTTCAAAACATCCACTTTAGTGTTCCACAGGAGAAAGTAAATAGTACATGTTTGGAACAACATGATGGTGAGTAAAGTTTGACAGAATTTTTATTTTTGGGTAATGATCATAATGACCATAATTAAACTGGCTGCCAGTCACAGTAAAGAGTCTCACCTGAATCAGACAGGTCCCTCAGTGAGGAGCTGAGAGCAGTGCGTTTGAGGCCCTCTCCTGGTGAATAGTTATCATCCAAACTAGGCCTTCCCATAGTGCCATTCACCACTTCATTCTTGACTCCACCCACTCCTGCCATCATGCTGTTGGTGAGCAGGCTGGGCCGCATTACTCCCTTCTGCTTCTCCAATTCAGCTGCAGGAGGAGAAAGAACAAATATCATCAGGTGACTATACAGTCTAACACCTTTTCCTAACCAGGCACAACGTTTCCAGCATCAAGTCATTTGTCTGTACACATACTAAAAGCTAATTGTTTACAATGAGCTATTTTTGTCTTGTTTACTATGTGTTTTCTATGAATCATCATTATGTTGACCAGACTGGGTTCATGTAAATCAATGATGATAATGATGTCGTAGTGGAGGGCCAGAATAAAGTGTAGTTGATTTATGAGAACAGCAGAGGGTGCTGTACTCACACTCTACTCTGTATTTCTCCATTTCCTGCACCTCAGCAATGCTCTCTCTCAGATCACTGACGAACCGTGTGCGGTCCTGTTGACTAGGCGCCGTGAACACAATCAAAACTTTATGCTCACCGCCCGGATTGGCTGATGCTAATTTCACACCATGAGGATAGTCTGAGGGTCGAGAGAGAAAAAGATCACGTTTATTGAGGGTTCACAAATAACAATGTCACTTTACATTTTAAAAAGGGGTCAAGACATAAGAAATCAAAATCAAAAATTTTTGATTACATTTTTTTTCCCCCCGGATAAATATTTGTTTTTGTTTTTTTGTGCAAAAAAAACTTTTTTAGCATTATAAGTTAACCTCATGGAACATAGTACAATTAGTTAAAAATCCATGTCATGATCCCTTTAAATATAGGTATAAGTGATGATTTTAGAAAAGCAGAAAAATTAATATTGACTATAGAAATTTCCATGACTTTCCATGATCTATCACAATATTATTTTATATATTTTTTCCAGGTTGTCCATGGCCATCGCACCTGAACCATGTTGATTATAATAATTTACAGCTTTATGAGAAAACTCTAAACTAAGCCTGGGAAGTCTGAATATGACACCTTATTTCTTTTATTATAATATTTTATTAAAAGTTTGGGGTCAGTATGAAAAAGGACATATGTAAGACATTTATAATGTTCTATTTCAAATATGTTTTTTTTTTTTTTACTTTTTATTTATCAAAGATTCCTGATTCCTTGTTCAGTTCACAACTGTTTTCAACATTGATAATATTAAGGAATGTTTCTTGACCAAACCAGCATATTAGAATGATTTCTGAAAAATCATGTGAAACTGAAAATTCCGCTTTGCATGACATGAATAAATTACGTTTTAAAATATAATAAAATGGTATGCAGCTATTCAAAATTATTCGTATTGCATTATATTACTATATTTTTGACATAAATACAGTCTGGGTGAGCATTAGAAATCTAAAAAAAAAATCGTATTGACCCCAAACTTTTGAACTGTACTGTGTATATAAGAAAGACAAAATTAACTTCAAATCTTACAGGAGTTTTGGAACATGTGAACCTGCATCTCCACAAGAGGGAAGGACTGTCTGAAACTGTATGTTACAGAGGTTTTCTTCTTCTGGAAGATCTTTGTAACCTTGAAATATAATAACAAAGAAAAATTACCACTAAGCATTTTAATGTGTACGAACTTTAAAATAAACATTCATTGCTAAAACATCTTGGGCCAATTCATTTGGCATGCATTGTTAAAGGAGTAGTTCACTTTAAAAAAAAAAAAAACTTCTGCTGATCATGTATGTCGATTTGATTAATGTCATCCAAGATATCCATGTCTTTCTTTCTTCAGTCGAAAAGAAATTAAGGTTTTTGATGAAAACATTCCAGGATATTTCTCCATATAATGCACTTTACTCGTAACCAAACGGTTCGAGGTCCAAAAGACAGTTTCAGTGCAAACTGCAAACTGTTAAAAGGGCTTTAAACAATTCCAGACGATGAATAAGGGTCTTATCAAGTAACAAAGTTTAAGTTTAATAAGCTCAAATGGTCGCCTTGCTCTGTTCTGTGACGCACGTTCGTGACTCTCCTGTTCAAACTCGTTTATCAAAATGAACGAATCTTTTTTCGAGTCATTTGGTTCATTCAACGAATGAAATGAACGAATTGACTCTGGAAAAGATTTGTTCAATTTGATGAACGAGTTCGAACAGGAGAGTCACGAACGTGCGTCACAGAACAGAGCAAGATGAGGATTTGAGCTTATAAAACTTAAACATTGTTGTTATTTTTTTTTAAATGAGCGATCGTTTCGCTTGATAAGACCCTTATTTATCGTCTGGAATCGTTTAAAGCCCTTTGAACAGTTTGCAATTTGCACCGAAACTGTCTTTTGGACCTTGAACCGTTTGGTTACCAGTAAAGTGTATTATATGGAGAAAATCCTGGAATGTTTTTATCAAAACCCTTAATTTCTTTTCGACTGAAGAAAAAAAGACATCTTGGATTACATGGGGGTGAGTAGCTAAATTATCAGCAAAAGTTTTTTTTTTTTTTTTTAAAGTGAACTACTCCTTTAATTGATGTCTGTTATTGACATTACCACAATCAGGTCGTTGAACAAGAAGACCTCTCTCTGGTGGACTCCAGACCTTTGAGGACGGTTGGTGTCCGGGACTTCATAGAGCTGACAGCAGCACACCAGTCTGCGGTGGGGCAGAGACAGAACCTACACACAGAGCAGATATTTACATTTACTTTGGAACTACATTACACATTGCTCATCAAACAGGTCAAAAGTAGGATTTTAAACTGACAGAAGTTCAGATACGTTCTCAAACATTCACTATTCTCAAAGATTCCAATCCAAAAAAACTCAATTTGATAAATGTCTCAGTAGTACTCACAGGTTTCTTGCCCACAATGACTCTCTCCACCGCCTGGACCTGAGAAACATGGTCATCATTGGTCCTCAGTTCCCACTTCTGAATGCGCTGGTAGATTCCAACTAGTAAGTCACGTGGGATGTCCTGACCATTATCCACCCCTGACAGAGAAAGAAATGACATGCACACAAGAAGGGATTTAGTCTATGTGCAAAATCCCTGACAGTTACATGGCACATTTAAAAGCAGATTGAGACTGTGTTTAGTTGGCCACTTAAGTAAGTGCCAAATATGTGAATGCGTGATATTTGAGAGAGAGAGAGAGAGAGAGAGAGAGAGAGAGAGAGAGAGAGAGAGAGAGAGAGAGAGAGAGATTTGAATACCACCTCGCAAGTTTTTGATGAAGTCGTCCAGCTTCATCTTCCTCTCCGCTTTGATGTTGGGGCTGTACATGTCTGTGTTGAGGAGGATGATGGCAAATGCTAGGATGAAGATGGTGTCTGGGTTCTGGAACTGTCTTACCAGTGCTGGGTTACAAACACAGTACCTCTGACTACAAGACAGATACAGAGAGAGAAATAGAATTTAAATGTGCAAATATTGAAGCATAGATAAAACACATTAGTAAACGCATTATACCAGCTTTGCAATCTGATGGGATGAGCCATGCATGTTTGATGCCACTATATAGCTGAATTATGAGCAATATCTGTTACCAAGACCCTTTAATAGCGTTAAAATCATTGTAACACATCGCCTCTCGTACTTAATTTAATAAATGTGAAGGTTTTTTTTTTTCATCAATAGGAATCATACCTGAAAGCCTCAATAAGTCTTTCCACTTTTTGGGCCTCTCCTTGCACTTTTATCTGAGCTTGAAATTTCCTCAAAGCATCATCGAGATCCATTCCAGAAAAGTCCATTTCATCCACAACACAACTGAGAAAAACAAAAGTGGAAGAAAATTTTACATGTTTATACATTCTTTTCAGTTGAACCTTGTTAATGATTCAATTTTTTCGAAGCAAACCTTTTTGAAAATTAACCTTTTGTCATTTGCTAAAAAAACTTCATTAATCCTAGGCCCTGTTTACACCTGGTATTAAGATGTGTTTTGGTTGATCGCATCACAAGTAGACGACAAGTTACACATGCTGTGGTAATCTGTCTCTTTAGACTTTCAACCACTTCTGATTTTTTGAGGGGACGTTCATAGACCGGCAAATGTATGTTGTTGTTTTTTTTCCAAATCTACAGATCCAGAACAAAGTAAACTCACACAATTTACAGATGAACAGAAGATGACAGAAAAACATGCCGAGGTTTCGTTTCTGCTCTGATGGCAAGCCATGCTCAATGCTGCGAGTATACTGTATGAAATCAGGAATGGTGAGAGAACATTGTGCTTGGTACGTTTTTCTTCTTCAAACCAAAATTGGGTCTTCAGCCAACAAAGTTTGAATCCCGTCTGGCTACCAAGCTTCCCATAATGTTTACGCGTTAGTTCAGTAGGCGGAGATTAGGCCGTCCTTTGTGGCTGTTCGAACGCATTCGACCACATGAGTGTTTACATTACAAAAGCATCTAGTCTAATGTGTTTTCGATTACCTCCGGAAGTGATCATAAGGTAAAACATTTTTAGATACCGTTTACACCTGTATTTAGTGTCATCCACTTTAGATCCGATCGACCAAAACACATCTTCATACCAGGTGTAAACAGGGCCTTAGCTCCTTTTTAGAGGATTTATTGTGTGAACTCACTCCAATACATCTTTGTTGAACTGTTTCTGTCTGTTTCCAAGGAACTCTCCAATCATCTGCCGACTCAGACCTTTTCTCTCCAGGATGAAGCGAGCGATGCCCACTGGTGTGTCTGACACGAAGCCCTTTTCAATCAGGTACTGAATACCCTTTTCCGGCTTCCTGCAGTCCAAAAAACAACAGTACAGTTTAATCATGCTTAAATCAGATTCATTCAGTCCATTACTCAATGTGATTTATAATAGATTAGTCACTGGCTTGCTATTATATTAAATTGTGGGATTGTTGCTTATAGAGGTAGAGTTCAATTTTCTCTTACTTGTTGAAGAGGTTGAGTCCAATGCGATATTGTCTTCTTTGAACCACATCGTTGTTAAAGGCTGGAGAGTCCCAGCTGTGCCGGCTTTCTCTCTGGTAGGTCTGTTTCCCTAATGGGGGCAGGGGCTCCCGCAGACTGTCCCTTGATGAAGACCCTGAGCTGCAATTAATGGTCTCATTAGAGTTTGTGGTGGAGTTCAGAGAGTCATTATCACCATCTGAGCAGCACTGCTGCTCCAAGCCACCAGGTGGCAGAGGTGCTGAAGAGGAGGATGAGAGTGGTGTGGTTGGGGGCTGTTGAGGAGAGGAGGAGGACGAAGGAGTGTCTGGGTACTGGTGATGGTGGTGGTGGTGATGGTGATGATGGTGAGCCATGTGGTGTGGGATATGTGACGGTATCGATCGGCTAGCTGGACGCGTTTGACCTTGTGCAGCTGTCGAGGATGTTGAACGAGCATTAGGGTTGTGTTTTAGTGTACCTTGAGGTGACCCTCCCACTGAATCCTGCTCATACACCAGTTGTCTGCTGAGGGAGCCTCGGTCTGAGCGGTCACTCATGTCCACGGAGCTGTCACTGGGTGGTTCAATTGTAAGTAGTGGCAAGTGCCCTCCCCGTAAACGGTAATCGCGGCACTCTGTGCAAGGTGTGCTTCGGCGACTATTGCTGCTTCCTCCTCCCTCTGTGTCACGGCTATCCTCCCTACCACCTACCCCGCTTCCAACACCCCCCCAGAACTCAGTGTCTGTGCTGCTAGGGGCCCGGTCTAGAGAAAGTGGCGAGGAAGGTAGTCCGTCGTCCATGTAAAGTGTGACATCGCTGTAGGAGGTGGCTGTGCTATCCTCGTGCATGCTCAAGCCCCCTGTACCTCCTCGATCCCTGTCAGCAAGGCCTCTCCGTAAGGATGCGTGGCTGTTACTGCTCCATATGCATTCGCCAAAGTCATCCACAACACCACTTCCGTCCCCTATCCCTTCCTGGGAGTCATCTCGGCGTGGTCGACAAGTTAGGGCATCATCAATGGAGTCAGCCAAAGATTTCACCTTGAGTGCAAAGAAATGAACATTGTCTCATAAACTGTGCAAAATATTTACTATTACTACTGTAGGGCATTACCCCTAAAGGGGGCATATACATTAAAGTTACTACTATGCACATTTTATGAGGAAATATGGTACAAACTTAATTTCTTTAAAGGAGAACTCCGGCGCAAAATGAACTTTTGGTCTAATTACACATTGTTAGCTAGTCAACCGTTATCTGAGATTTGTTTTCATGATTGCCGAATGTAAATAGTTTTATCTCTAAAAACAGTTTAGCCTATATTGCAAGTATAATGCTAATATATAGGGCATAGAGTAATGACAAATAAAAATTGTTTGTTATTACCATTAACAAGGCTCAAAATAGCCCCACACTAACACGACAGCAGAATAAGGGTCCCTACATTCAAACCGAAGCATTGAGAACTTTGTCAGTGTCCATACAGTTAAATAAGAAGATATTTTATACATACAGTCAACTTCGCGAATACAGGAAGAAGCCATCTTTGAAAAATAGTCTCTACCAGTCGATCTACAAACGCCGATCCAAGTGCGCAGGAGAGATGTGAATAAAGCCTAGTTCACACTACGTGATTTTAAGCCCGATTTAAGCCCGATTTGCAAATCGTTGAGTCGCCGACAAGTCAGGGTGTTATCGCGTGCAAATCGCGGGCGATTAGCGGACGATTAACGCTCGCCAATCAGTTAGTGTGAAAGAGCCAACAACGCATCAAAGACAGCTCGCAGACAGCTCGCAGACAGGTCACCGAGCTCAGAAAAATATCTAGCATGCTAGATATCTCGCGCAGTCGCGCGACTCAATCTCAGTGATGTCATGAGTACAGCCAATCATAGCAACGCATGGGTTGAGGACACCAGGTAAATCTTACTTTTTCTTTTTGCATTTTTTTTTCTCAGAGCATATCGTCGAGCAAACAGTGTGCAGCACTAGTTTCTGTCTGACGTCCATATTCGCGTGTTGTATTCTTCTCTGCAGTTTCGCGTCATTTCTGGTTCGTTTTATTGCGTGGTTTTTCGTTACAAAACATGGTTTCTAGACCAGATAGAATCGTGTTGTTGTCAACTCGTTATTTGGTTGATTATTTTCAGGATTTAGACTGTACCATAGTACTGAAACAGCTCTCATTGAGTCACAAATGATATGCTCTTATCATCCGATCGTGGTTGTATCTCTATGTAGTGCATTGTTAACTCGTGTAGTGAGTTACCTCCTGTTGTGGATCAATCACGTTGTGTTGTGTGGTGTGAACAGCTAAACAACTTGAACACTCATGATTTCACTGAGAGCAAGTCATGTAGTGTGAACTGCACAGTTCAGCCCGACATTTTAAAATCATGTAGTGTGAACTAGGCATAAGGTGATAAGGTGAGCGCGAACAGTAGGCTACATGTACATATTGAAGAGAAGAAAATAGTTTGTGTTTGTGTTTCTTCCGGAAACAACGGACCATATGAGATTCTGCACAGTTCAGCGCACTTGGATCGGCGTTCGTAGATCGACTGGTAGAGACTATTTTTCAAAGATGGCTTCTTCCTGTATTCACGAAGTTGACTGTATGTATAAAATATCTTCTTATTTAACTGTATGGACACTGACAAAGTTCTCAATGCTTCGGTTTGAATGTAGGGACCCTTATTCTGCTGTCGTGTTAGTGTGGGGCTATTTTGAGCCTTGTTAATGGTAATAACAAACAATTTTTATTTGTCATTACTCTATGCCCTATATACTAGCGTTATACTAGCATTATAGGCTAAACTGTTTTTAGAGATAAAACTATTTACATTCGGCAATCATGAAAACAAATCTCAGATAACGGTTGACCAGGTAACAATGTGTAATTAGACCAAAGGTTCATTTTGCGCCAGAGTTCTCCTTTAAGGGTACTGCCAAGTCGCTGGTTGTGGCCTATAGAGGGCGCAACAGGATCAACAATCTTGGAAGTCCACTTTAAAGCTCTGTGTCCAAACAGTTCAAATGAAAAATAAATGCATTCTCCACTCCACAAGCGCTCCACAAGATGTTTGATTATACTATCCAGATGCTCAAAATTGATCGGGAGAATACGCGTTTTAAACAACTTATTGTACACGTTAGTTAATCGCCATTCTAAACTAATGGGTGTTGCATTGTAACGCACACAAACACATACAGAAGCTTGCGCATAACTGATTTAGAACGAGCAGAAACTGTGAGAAATATAACGACCCAAAGACAAAATAACTGGTAAAAAATAAGCTGTTATGGATAGCCTCCTGGGCAGCGCTGTGTCAATATGCAACCTGCATTCGATTTTCAGCTTATTTGGTTCAGGCTTATTTGTTCATTAATGACATCATCAGCGACTAGTCGACGTCAACTCGACGTCATAAATATTGACTTTAAAAAAGTTGTTGTTTTTGTTTTCTGAGAGTGAAGGAGCCACATGATAGACATTTGTTCATAGCATTATCTTGTCATGATTTGACAGTTTTGAAAACATTTAAACAATCAGTTCACGTAAGGATATGTACGGAGAAGCTAAAGACAAGCTAAAGACCCTGACCTGTCGGCGAGCTCAACGATTTGCAAATCTGGCTTAAATCAAGCTTAAAATCATGTAGTGTGAACTAGGCTTAAGCTAACTATGAAGCCTGTCCATTCAGCGCATTCTCATCCCAAGGCGTCATATATTAGCCTGGTAATACCAGACTCTGTCAGGAATGATTTAGTTTCCGCCGCTTCGCAGCGCCGCGATCGAGGGCGAGACCGAGCCGCTGCTCTCGCGAGTCATGAATAGGAAGTTCATTTTACTGATTTTCTGAGTCATTCGAGTCATTTTGTTTATTTAAGTGGCTTAATGTTATAATTTTAACAGCCAAATTCCCCGATCACATCCACCTACGCAATGTTGATCATATTCTGAATTAAGAAATCATAATGCAGTAAAAAATGATTTACAGGGACCATAAATAATCACTTTACCTTGCTTCCGAGTCTTACGTTCATTTGTCACGTGACATACACAATGAACAGATTGTTCATGAATCACATATCTGGGACTAATGCAGCAGGATGTCGAAACGAAATATGGTGGATTATTATTATGATAATAAGAGCGCGCCAGGAGCGTTCACAGCCGAGGAAACCGACGTTATTGTCATGGCCGTAAAAGACATTGAATGGGGGTAAGTTATGTCCTTATAGTTATGCATATAGTTATGGCCAAACAGGTCTGATCCGTCATTACTACAATTAGCCTGAAAAAAATGGGTAGCCTAAATGCCTAAGCTTGAAGTGTTAATATTTGTCCTTGTTATAATGATTTGCAAAAATAAAAACGTCTGCACGTGCCGGCCCTAGCTGTAAACACTGATGATGCGAGCGAAATACTGGAGTGAACATGGCTGTAAACGACTTTTGCTTCAGTTTGAAAAACCCCGGAATGTTCTCCATAACAGAGCGAATCGCATCCCGTGTCTTGTTTCCCATTTCTGCGGTTGTTTCGGTATTCGGTTTTCAATTTCTCTAACCTACAATGTACTCCTCTGCGCTTAGCGGCTACGTCACGGCTCTCAGCCCACCCTCTGTTCGTTGATTGGCCGGCTGTTTTCAGGCCGGTGGAAAACTGAAAGTGACACTATCTCAGACTGACTACAGGAGCGAAATGAAATTAGCGAAAGTAGGAAGTCTGACGTAGTCAGGCTAGTCATATATGGCGCTTTTGCCAAAGCGTAGACATCCAACATACATGGCACCCTTTGGCGTCAATATGACACGCACAGAGTATGGGTAGGTTTAGGTCTGGGGTAGGGTTAGGGTTAGACCACTAGGAGGCGCCTTCTGGCCCATATATATCTCGCCTCAAATTGACCTTATGCCCAGCTGCACTACTTCCTGAACTTAAGCCAGCTCCTTGTTTCCTGTCTGCCATTATTGGCGGAACTTGATTAATTCAGGTGTGTCTGATTATTGTTGCCTTGACTACTGAGGTCAGGTACACCTGAACTAATCAATTTGGCCAATAATGGCAGACAGGAAACAAGGAGCTGGCTTAAGTTCAGGAAGTAGTGCAGCTGTGCATAAGGTCAATTGACGCTAAAGGGTGCCATGAGCGTTGGATGTATACGCTTTGGCAAAAGCGTCGTATATGACGCCCTGGGGTGAGAACGGGCTGGTACATTAGCATCCAATGTTGAGGATCAACATCCAAAACACAACACAAACGAGTGACCACTTTGTCTTTTTAGCCGAATAAGTTCATTCTTAACCCTCAAAGGCCCTTTATCTCTATGATGACTTCAGATACAGACAAACTGAGAACTTACTTGTTTAGAGAAGGAGTCCTCAAGGTGAGTGTACTCTGGCCGTGATGGGGAGCTTGGCTCTGTGGTGCAGGTTGGAGAATGCGGAGGACCCATTCCCGGACTGTGACTGTAGTGACTCGGTGGGGGAGGTTGAGGATGTCGGTCATCAAACGAATACTGCAGTCGCATGTTGGAAAGGATGATGCGGCGTGTCATGCGGCTCTCAGAAGCTGAGCTGCGGAGGCGCTCAAAGTTCTTGTTCATACGATATTGACGGAATGCTGTCTGGATGGTCCGCGCTGCTCGTCTACTTACGAAGTAGCCTCCATATTTCTTCTCCAGCATCTCCACCTACACGACAGTCTTGTCAGTTATATTTTCTTCAACAGAATGTGATTTACTGTGAATCATAATACTTTTTTTTTTTTTGCATGTCTTACCTTCTTGTCTTGTAGGTCTGTAGAGAGTTCATAGCTGTCTGATAGGACTTTGCACCTCTTGTTTTCCTCTTCCTCTTGCTTACGTAGGGCCAGGCTAGCTGGTTGGTTGCGTGTACGCTGTGCCCAGGCGAGACTGGCTGGGCTTGGAGGGGGCACAAAAGGCACCCGGGGGCCTGGGAGGGTGCAGCTGTTGTCCCCGTAACGGTCAGAGCGGTACACGTAAGGAGATTTGCTGCTGGAAGTGTCTGAAAAGGGACGTGAAGCTGAACTCTGGGTTTCCTCCTCACTGAAAGGGGTGGGTGGGTGAGAGAGAGAAGAGAGAAAGAGAGATAATAATTTTGAGTCTAAAACGCCCCCATAATGAAAGGATAAGATAAAAATCTCAAGCAACTCGGGAATTCATGACATTATTCATTTTCCACTGACTTGGCATTTTGACTTTCAGGAAAGCTTTAAACAGGGCAAATGTCCTAAACAAGCCTCAGGCTTCCCTAAAATTATCATACTGTTAAAAGCAAAGATTCCAGGAAAAGTAGAACCATTCTAGCTTATATAGTACTTAAGATTTGTAACTAGAGGTCCAAGTTATCTAAGTCACTGTATTAGATAATGTAATAGATTTCTAGGTTTTTTTATAAGACAAGAAAATGCAAATGGTTTTTACCAGTGCAAAACTCACTCAAGGTACTGTGTGTTGTAGGCGTTCTGAGAGGTTATCACATTTCTATGCAGTTTCAAAAGCATTCTGAGTTATCACATTGCTTTGCAACTTTTGGGATGTTCAGGGTTGTTGCTATTCGCCTGTTAATGAGGTTATCACGTCTTGCAAATTCTATGTAATTGAATGTTGTTGTTTTTTCAGTGTTTTTCTTTTTAACAGCCAGGCAATAATTGCAATTTGCTTGGAAAAGCAATAACACACTTCTCATCAATCCACACATCTGAGGTACCATTCATGCCAATAGAACAAACAAGTTACTCACTGGGATTTAATACTTTGTGTTAAGGGTTTGCAAACACCACTGCATAAGAAATTACAGAATAAGAACAAAAAGTCTATTATAGTTTGCAGGGTCAGTCACCCCAGTGCAGGGGCGGTGACCCTTGGGTTTGCCATGGGAAACACAACAGCATGTGATCTGAACTCATAATCCTGACACAGCTTTCTGACAGGACAGTGGGTATTTCTGAATCACTGCAAGCAGCTTCCTGTTCTGACTTAGAGGAGGTTATTGAAGGCAAGTTATTATCATATAATGCTAACGTATACTGCAATTCAGACATCTTACGACACTATTCTCATTTTGCCTAAACGATTTCTCGCTCGCTCAAGCCAAAAGAAAGACCCTTGCATGCATACAATCCTTGTTTTGTTGTTTATCACATTTGTAACAACAGGTAACCATTACACACAGAAAGGTCCAGTCTTTACAAAAGCACAATACCCTCCTTTCACTCTCCTTTGTATGCAGGAAATAGGCTTATAACAGCAGGTGTTAGGATTAAATGCCATACAATTTGCAATCTTAAACTGTACACTTACCACATTTACTAAAAACAGGTACATAAACCCACGCACATGAACATCCACCCGGAGAACGAGAGGAGGTTTCGCTTCCTTTAAGTCCAAATTTGGCAGTTGAAGCTCCTGGAATTCACCAAGTGCTGAACTTTGTGGCTTTTTAGAGTCGTTCTGCAGTTATGACCGACTGTCAGGAGGTCACCAACACATAGTCACATGGCAGTGCTTAAGCCCTCGCTCCTCCCATTTTCTCTCTCCCTCTCATTATTTACATTACACAAAGTGCTGTGGTGTAGTTCACCGAAGTCAGTCGCTCGGAAAGTGTGACCAGATATGTAACTGGAGTTTCTGGACCAATCAGCTTTAGGATCTCCTTCTGTGCTTGTATGTGTCATCTTCTTCATAGACGAGTCTAGAATAGTTTTTCACACAAGTGTGTGCGGTCATCTTCTATGAAATTCACAAAAAAAGTTGAGTTCCCCTCTCTGTTGTGCTGGTATGTATTTTCCACCCCTAATATTGGTGGTTAAATCACCGTGGTTTCCTGTATTTGTAGGAAGTGGACAAAAGATTGAAGGGGAGGAAGGAAGACAGCCATCGCCTTTTGAGCTGTACTGTGTCAGTTGTACCCATTTGAAAGAAAAATCATAAGTGAGATCTCTTTAAAGTCTCATTTGTTTCTCCTGGAAAGCAATGATATCAAATGAGAACCAGATTGTATGATTTTTTTTTTCCCCTAGGGAAAAAGACCCCAGTGATATATCTCACATGTTCTCAAGCTCACAAGAATTCACAACAACGTCCAAAGTTAGCTACATTAATACGGCTGCAAAAAATAAATAAATTAATAAATAATGTAAGCTGAAACAAATTAAAAATTCGTACAATATCAATTTCATCTAAGCCACGCAATACAAATCATTTAGTGCTCACTGTACAACAACAGTCACATTTGTGAAACACTGCATGTTTGTATAAGGAACAGTTCAAACATGAACATTTTAAAATCTCCATAATAAACATTCTCTCATTATTTACTCACACTCACATTGTTCCAAACCCACATGACTTGATATTAAAGTCCCCGTGAACCGGAAGTTGCAAACGATTTTTCTCCAGTGCTGTGGCGTATTTCCAAGTGAAACGGAATATTGAACCGAGGGCAGGGTTTTACTTTAGCGCTCCTCCTCTCCATCTCTCGCTCATAGCAAACTAACGGTTTGAGGGGAGTGGTTAAGCGTTTCCCCACCCAAGCTGTGAAACCTACGTCATCAGAAAAAGAAACCGTTCCAGACCGGAAGTAACTTTTCAGATTTTGATTAAAGATTACCAAGGTAAAACATTTTTTAAATATATTTTTACTTGCACGGATTAATTGTTCACCACAAGACTAGTAATATGCGCTAACAAAGTAAATAGGTTCAATTTTGATTTCACGGGGACTTTAACACAATTTATTAATAATTAAATCGCAATGGCCACTGTTGTTTTTCTGTGCACCAAATACATATTTGCCCTATGCACTTTTTTCGCTGATATTCCTGCATGCTTTGTTAACTCTTTCCCCGCCAGATTTGTTTTTTAAAAAAAGTTGCCAGCCAGCGATAATTTTCTCAAAAACTTTCAGGGTCCCCAGAATATTTTGTTGAATGATATCTGAACATAAAATATATCAAAAGAAAGAACAGACCTCTGCTTTAAGAAGAAAGAACCATTTTATTCTTCATAGTTTTTTTTTTTTTAAAATAAACACTTGTGGGTAAATTTCATTAAAAAATATATATATTTTGATAATAGCGCTTAAGACTATGTCAAAATGGGATTCGTAATCAAAACATAAATCGAGTAGATTGAGTCAATCAACACCCCCAAAGCTTTAACTGTCCCATTCTTTTTTTCTCCATTCTGTCACCTGATGGAGTTTGGGTTTCTTGCCACTGTCGTCTCTGGCTTGCTTAGTTTGTCGACACTAACATTCAACAATATTATTGATTTGACTGTACTGACACTATAGTATGAGAACTAAACTGAACTAGACGATGACATCACTGTTTTCTGCAGAACTGCTTTAGATAAAATGACCTAATTTAATAATAGATAATCTTTACCACGGAAATGAATCGACACTGAACTGACTTCAGCTGAACAATGACATCATTTTCTTTTAGAGCTGCTGTACAGCCGAAATGAACTCAAAAAAAATCTGTATTGTATAAAGCGCTATATAAATAAAGATGATTTGACTGTACCTCTTCCTTGGTCAACATTTCATTTGGTGAAGTTTGCCACTTTTAATTTATAAGCTGTTTGATGTACACGTTAGCATAAGCAATGCTTCGTTTGCTTGTTTCTGCTTCTTCTTTTCCTGTGTTTCTACCTGGTGATTCAGTACTATTTCAGAGGATGCGTAATAGCGCCCCCCTACTGTATAACAGTGAAAACACGGATTTCTGGAAAATTCTGTCAATGCTAGGGAAGCATTGTCTCATAAATGACGGAAAATTCCGCCAATGGCAGGTAGAAAGAGGTAAATGTGTTAACGCTCAATATACTGCCATTCTATTGAATTCCTTACACCAGATATTCATTACATCATCACATGTTGTGTGCGATGGAAAAAAAGAAAGTCACACGGGTTTTGGAACAAGGGGAATAAGTTTTGATTCTGAGTGAACTATCCATTTGAAATAAAAACAATAGATTGCTCATAACTTGCCTACCTGAAAACAAATTCTAGTTTCACAATCAACACCGACGCCCGGTTTCACAGACAAGGCTACACTGTAAAAAAATATTGTTGGTTTAACTTAAAAAATTAAGTAACCTGGTTGCTTTAAAATTTTAAGTTGATTGAAATGGAAAAAAGTGAGTTAATACAACGAAGGAGATTGATTTAATCATCAGAAACTCAAAAAAATAAGTTATCTGAACTAAATAAATGATTTAAGTTGATTTGACAAAAGAAAAAATGTTGTATTTTTTTCAAGATAACAAATCTTGAAAATATATATTTTTTTACAGTGTAGTCTAGTCTAATCCTAGACTAAAATGTTTGATGTTGTTTTAGCAGAAAGCATGCAGTTTGCACCGGCGAATTTTAAAATATGTCACTGCCATTGTTTTGTCACAAGATAGACACCCATGGAATTTTTTTTTCAAAGGCACGTTTATAAAATCTACTTAAATGTTCTAACTGAAGGCATAATTGTGACATAATCTATTTACTCAGACATTTGAGTGACGTAATTATTTTCTTTGCAAATATTGTTTACATTTCGTCAGTCTTAAAAGGGCAGTTGACAAAACATGAACAAACATATCCACTATACTAGGGTACTTTACATCAGTAAATGGACTAGTTGCTTTCAAGACTTAGCCCAACTGAGTATATATGTTATTTACTGTTTTGGACTGTTTTTTAAAGAGCTTTAAATAGTTGCATAAACGTAAATCCTATAAACTTACACTGAATGAAAGAGGCCTGGTATGTCACTGAGGCCTGAGCAACCACATAACAGTGCATGAAAACATACTTATGCTTTACTTTAATACTGGTTTAGAAAGTTGGCCATAGCTTAGTTTAGCTGTGTACTGCAACATGGTTTAGAAATGTAATCAGACATCTGCTGCCTACATTCAATGACAAACCTGCAGTGCTGTTTTATTCTGGGAATGCTGCTCATAACATCTGCTCATAAAATTGTCTTTTTGCATCTTCCTTTTCCCCATTCCTCCCACTCCTCCCACACACACACTCTCTCTCT